CAATTATTTACACCATGCTGACTGCCGTGAAAATTACTTATCGTTACCTCATTGGCATGACTCGGCTGGAATAAGAACAAGTAATTCTAAAGCTACCAACCCTTCTAAACCAATTTGCAAAGAAATAAAACAACTGCAAATGAACGAGAGAAGACTGCGCCACAACCATATTTGGCCGGTGAAAGCAATGACTGCTCAGGGATACTGTTCCTGTCTTCAAGAGTGCTATCAACCCGTTCCCGAGTTGCAAACAGACATGCGAGTCGAACAGCAGACACAAACAGGCCGGCCGACAAAAAGAGGGCAGTGGTCTATCGTCGGTGCCGCAACGCCTATTCCCTCTGCACAGAAGTATACCCTAAACACAGCTTCTCCTGCCAATGCCAGCACTTCACGGTGGATCAGCAACCAAATGATCCCTTCGCCAGGATGCTCACGACAGAGCCTTCAACATTATGAAGCAGACATGCCAAGGAGCAGGGAATGGAACAACCGTGCCGCCACTTTTAGACTGCCTCCGATACAGAACAGCACAAGAGGCAGGTCATTCCACCCTAGCCAGTGCGAAACTAAACAGCGTCGTCACGGTCAACATATTCAAGCTACGCTCCTTGAGGAAATGGGAGAAGTAATAGACCACCCAAGGAGCAGAAGAAATGGTAGGTGCCTAGAAAGTGACACTTCTCGTCAAAACCTGATATTTTGTAGAGTGTTGCATAAGCGTTTCTAGGCTCGTCAGAATCAGAACCGAACTTCACTATGATAGATGTGTAAAGTGTACAAAAACTATTGAATAAATTATTATACTATAAAAATACCATTTTACCATATTAGGGTCTGGAACGCGCAAAATATGCGAATGACGTCTTAGAGTAGTAAAAAGTAGAGGCAGCGGTGAGAAGAGTTGGAGGGATTGAACCTTCCAAAGGCTTTTCTTTTTAAGCAACGAACCTTTAAGAATTAAATTTCAGGCCATTTCATTGTTCATTATTACACTTTCTCATGGTTTCATTTTGGTTCTTTCTCGTCTTTCGTGCACGCATGATGTGATCAGAACAATCCTCAGTCATGAAACCACAGAATGCTTGTACATTTGCCTTGCCCCGATGAGGTTCCAAATAAGATGATGCAACTCGCAAGATATCCACCTGTAGCCTGGGTTAAACCAACGAATATTCATGTCTACCGTCAATTAAATACTGTTATTATAACCAGTTAGCTGTTTGTATTGTATTTATAGTTGGCACCTAGTTTAGTTAACTAAATAGTAATTGTAGTTTTCTGAGCAACGTTTTTCCTGTAACAAAATATGGTCGTTGTTAGAAACGTTGGCCCAACGGGTAACAGTGAAACTGTAATAAGAATAAAAGTGAATAAAGTATATAACACTGTTTTATCAAATATATCTTAGCGTTTTATTTGCTTTGAACATAGCACTAAGAGGATGTCTAACTACGACTGAACTAGCTCAGTTTTTAATGCCAGAGTAAAATAGCATAGTCTAGCGGTTATCGACCAAAATTGTTCAAATTAATGATAAAAGCATGAAACTTTGCCACAACACCTATGACCCTAAGACTAATATTTTCTGATATAGGATCAATTCAAATTAACTTCTGGTGACGAGAACCACGCATGTCAGAAATTTGCTAACATGGAAACGAGGCTAAGAATAAAAAATCCTCTTTAACAAGATTGCTTGGGGAAATTTGCGACAAAAGCCTTCAAACATAAAAACCGAGTCATTTTCTATCCATTCGCATTCATCTTACGCCATTACTTGATTATCCTCTATAATATTTATCATAATATTTGGGTGCCCTGTGGTTAAACGTTAAATGTACCTGTTATTTTCTGAATCACGATCGGTAAAACTTGTTTACCTTAGAAACATATAGCTTATCTCGAGGAAAATCAAAGGCAAAGTCAAATTATCTTTGGCGAGTGCCTCCCCTAGTAGAGCCTTAGCTAAATACTATCATTTTTATAGTATTTATTACAACAAACGATAGTCCGAACCTTGCTCATTGCCTTTTTGATGGCTTTAAGTGACTTTGAAAAGCTAAAACATAAAATTTTTTTAGAAAAACATTTCACTGGCGCGCGCGCCAACATTGAGTAAAATGCCTCTAGAGCCTACTTAGGTAGGACGCAACAGATTAGTGCACACGGGACAACCACAAAAAAAGATTACATAATGTTCTCCTTTATTTTTTTTTCAAGTCAAATAATCGGAATAGTCTTATGATAATGATTGTTATGTAATATGCCTCATACGTCTGAGAACGTGAGTAACAACTGAGAACGTGAGTAACGTCTGGTTACAATTTGCATCTGATTGGTCGAGAGCTTTGCGATCATGACGATGTAAACCAATGATATCCCGAATCATTTTCGACATACAGTCCAAATTTGCATGTGTCAAGATTCAAAAGTGGTATTTCTTTGTATCCGATTGTATGCGGTCGTTCACTACACTGACCATGAACCCACTTCGAGAGCGCCTCTTCCCACCGTTATGCAATAATGTCGAAAAAAGGCAGGAAATTCAAACAAACTCGCGCCCCCCTCATTCAAGATTCAAAGGCGATACTTTGGCTTCCAGCAGCCATTGTGCAACACATGCAGCAGTTAATGAACAAAAAAACCGTGCAGAACTTCTAGAAGGAGACAGAGATTTCCAATTGTACTCGGTAACGAACCAGCGTTTTTCCCGACGGCATGGGTCGCCAATCTCAGATTGTTCTCACCGTGGAGAATAAAAGTTCCCGAGTGGCCAGAAAAGAGGTAAGGTGCATTTTTATCGTACTAAAAGAATGCTTGTTATCTTCGAGAGTAACGAATTGCAGAGTTCTGCGCACGATATTGACTGCGGTAAACGTTGCTTCCTATAGCATAATCTGCCAGACGCTAAAATCAGGGCCGGCAATTTTCGGACTGCTGAATTTTATAGAATGACTTGTGCAGAAATAAGCCACAATCAAAGGAGGGAAAAATAACTCCGCAAAGATATTCCATCAAAGGCAGATAAAGATTTTCTGTTAAACGCGACACCAAACCGACGCTTCCCCTAACCGCACATATCAAAAACTTCGCATTTTCATAAACAAATGGCAAGGAATATATGTACTGTGTTCACAAATGAAATAAAGCACAATTTTTACGTCATCAAACAATTCCGTTGCCCTTCACAGAGACCGAAGATTTGGACAATTATTTACACCATGCTGACTACCCTGGAAAGTACTTATCGTTTACTCATTGGAATGACTCGACCGGAATAAGGACAAGTAATTCTAAAGCTACCAACCCTTCTAAAACAAATTGCAAAGAAATACAAAAAAAATAACCGCAATTGAACGAGAGAAGATTGCGTCGTAACGACATTTCGTCGGTGAAAGCCAACACTTCTCGGTGGATCAGCAACCAAATGATCCCTTCGCCAGGATGCTCACGACAGACCTGCCAAGGAGCAGGGAGTGGAACAACTGTGCTGCCACTTTTAGACTGCCTCCAATACAGAACAGCACCAGAGGCAGGTCATTCCACCCTAGCCACTGCGAAACTAGTCAGCATCGCCACGTTCACATATTCCTGCCACGCTCCCTGAGGAAATGGGAGAAGTAAGATACTCTGACCACCCAAGGAGCAGAAGAAATGGTAGATGCCTAGAAAGCGACACTTCTCGTCGAAACCTGATATTTTATAGAGTGTTACATAAACGTTTCTAAGCACGTCAGAATCAGAATCGAACTTTAATTATGATAAATGTACAAAGTGTTCAAAAACTATCATTACTATTAATAAAATTATTACTACAAAAAAATACCATTTTGCCATAAAGGGCCTGAAACGTGCAAAATATGCCACGGAATGACATCTTAAAAGAGGGAAAATTACAGACAGCGATGAGAAAAATTGGTGGCACTGAACGACCCAAAGGCTTCGCTTCATAAGCAACGAACCTTTAAGAATTTCAGGTTATTCAATTGTTCATTATTACACTTTCTCGTGGTTTCATTTGTGTTGTTTTTTGTCTTTCGTGCACGCCTTATGTAATCGATACGAACCTCAGACACGAAACTATAGAATTCTCGTATATTTTCCTTGCCCCAATGGTGTTCCAAATAAGGTTACGCAACTCGCAAGATATTCGCCCGTAGCCTGGGCTAAACCATCGTATATGTATTTATTTATGTTTACCGTAAAAGAAAGATACTCTTATCATAACCAGTTAGCTGTTTGTATTGTATTTAAAGTTGGTATTTGGTTTAGTTAAATAAATAGTAATTGTAGTCTTCTGTTAGTGCAAGGAACAAAGTTTTTTATGTTAAAAAGCATGGTTGTTGTTAGAAACGTTAGCCTAACAGGTAACAGTGAAACTTTTCTGAAGAATAAAGAAAAATAAAGTATATAACACTGTTTAAAAAAAATTAATCGTCCTTGCCCTTGTACGACAACGAATCCGTTTTAAATTTTTTTTAGCTGATTCTTCTAAATTATCTTACGTTAATGACCCGACCCGACCCGACCCGACCCGACCCGACCCGACCCGACCCGACCCGACCCGACCCGACCCGACCCGACTCAGATCTCCTCACATTAGATCCTCGTGCACCAAGCTACTGAGATCTCGTTAGTGAGTTAAGCTAGTGCGTATACGAAGTACATGTCAGACGTACGTTCTACATTTTATGGAAGGTCAGCTATGTGGAAAGACTAGAAAGCGTCACGTGTGTGTTAAAATAAATGAGTGTTTTCCTTTTGTTTTTTACTTTGAAGCTATTTTGGTCATTTTTTTCTAGGCAATTTCAGTCTTTTTTTTCTTTTTTTTTTTTGTTCCTTCTAACAACCTTTTCGGTAACTTCCCGATTGATAGTTTTCTTAAAAAGCTGGGATACTACGCGACGATCCTTTGGTTATTTAATGGTATAACTCAAAGCCCGCGCAGCATGATGGGTCTGTGTTGTGAAGCGAGGCAACTAAGCTTAAATGTATGTGGCAAAATGTCGTGAACTTGTAAATGGCTGATAGTGGTCGGGAAGAAAAGCTGGCCGCGGCCAGGAAAAAGGTACAACATTATCGCAATTGTTTTCATCGGGAAAAAACTACATTTTAATTCATGGTCGTGAGGTTTGATTTCTCTCTTATGCCTTGTAGCTCAAGAAATTTCAACAAAAACGGACTCCTTCCTCGAGTCCGCTGGTAAAGGATGTGAAACATAGTGTAGATTGCTCGTCGAATTATTCACCGAGTTCATCAGAATCCGGAGGGAACTTGTCAACAGCAAACGAAAATGTTAGTATAAATCTTTCGTGCGTGTCTTTTTCTTCTTCGCACACACAGATCCTTTTAGATCGGTAGGCTCTATAGTTACTAAGAGTGTGTTTTAAAAAGTGTTTGGGTTTTGTAGCGTTAATGTGGAAGTTTGTCCTTCAGTTTAGAAGATATTCACGCTCACTCAGTCAGTTACTATCCACTGACTAATTATTTGTAGTTTACTTTTTAAGTTATCTGAATTTATGCCTTCTTGTTTTCCAATCTTGCTCGTTTTCCTTGGGCCAGGTACACGAAAGCAAAGCTTGTTTCATTCAGACATTGTTTATATACAGTCTCAGCTGATACCACCTTGGGGCGATTTGGCGTTTTCTGGTTGGTTTATGATTTAGCTGCTCGAATTTTCGGTAAAAAGTGGTCTGCCCTCGCCCAAATTGAATATATTTGGGTTCCTTTTCGTTTGAACAAAATTTCAGATCAGAACTACAGGTTAGCTGATTTCTAAGTGAACGTACTTTTGTAAATACTTTAGTTTTAAATTTATTACCCTAGTGATCTTGCTTACTGAATGAATAATTGAGCTATTTAAATTTGAATTTCAGTGTTTGTTGTAAATTGTCTGAAAATTAGTCATTTTTAATAGTAAAATAAATGTACAGCCATGCACTAACCATAAAAATCTGCATTGACCAGCAATCCACGGGTGGATATTGCCAAATTTTCATTCACAATATCATATCAGTAAAATTGTTTTCAAGTATCTGAAGTATCATAACTAGTTATAATCTGCCAGAAGCTAAATAAGAGCATAGCAATTTATACCTCCCAGAGGTAATTATCTGACATATACATTTTGATCTAAAGGGATTTACCCCTTTTTGCATGGTAGTTGTTTGTAAATGTTGTCCATTTGAACCTTAAAGTAATCTTAGGTAATTTAGTGTTAACAACTGAGTTGAAAACGTAAATTGGCCACCATAAAGGGTAAAAAAGCTGACGTTTTAAATCACTCTGACGAAGGGCTAACACTCGAAACATCAGCTTTTTTATTCTTGGTGGCCAATTTACATTTTCAACTCAGTTGTTAACATTAAATTACCTGACCTAAACTAAATTACCCCACTAATGCAGCACCACAGTTTCTTTAGAAACTTACCCCCTATAAAGTAATCCTAGTTACTTGAAAAGATCTGCAGTTTAGTTGTTAAATTCCAATGATGAGACCAATGGAAACATCCATGAGGGTACCGTATTTATTCAGTTAAAAGTGCAGTGTTTATTGAAGGGTGGCATTTATACGAGGGAGGCATTTATTTAAAATCCAATTTATTTCTTGCAAACAAAAACAATAGTATGGTAACTGACCATTTTAATTTTAAAAAACAGAAACATGTCTCAGTGCTTGTCTAAAAAATCATTTTTTATATCATTTTCAATTTCACAATCTGCATGTTAATACGTGAAGGTAATAAAAGTGAATAAAGATCTAATGTCAGGTATGCTTTCTCAACATCACAACTGGTACATTCAATAGGATTTGTGTCTGGTTCACCAAAAATTTCCAACGGCGATCGAAGCATTGATTGCTGTGTGCATTTTGAGTCTATTATTCAAGGGCAGCATTTATTTAATATTTCTGCCCTAAAATGAGGTGTTTATTTGAGGTGGGCACTTAATCAAATAAATATGGTATACTATTATTAGTTGATCCAGTACCAGATTCTTAGAACTAATATAATCAGAAATGTATGGTGAACAGTAAGGAGAATTACTAATTAGATCTTGGAAGTTCAAAAAAATATAAATTGCTGAGGAATTTCACCTAAACATTATATGTAAATATACTGTTGTTATCACCTTTCCACTAGAGCAGGGGGGTGGACGGAGGAGGAGGTTTACAAGATAATTTTGGTTGTATGAACTGAGATCATAATTATGTAAATTGGCCACTGTAAAGAGTTTCTAATACTGATGTTCGAGTATCAGCCCTTCGTCAGCACTCTGACAAAGGGGTACTAACCATCAAAATGTCAGCTTTAGAAAATCCAAAGTGTTTCAAGGTGACTTCGATTTAACTTCATGTAAAATTAGAAAAGTGTTGAAATTTATTTCAGCTAGCACATGTCATGTTATTTATATGTATCTCTCCATATCATCAATTCACCTGTATTACCACACTGAAACTTAACTATTTACACAGATGAAATGATTCATTTGTTGTCTTTCAGTGGTGAATAAAAGGGTAACCACACATGAAATAGGCATAGCTTTGTTGTACACATATATTATGTTTTGTACAGTCTATATAGGTTAAATAAACCACTGAGTCTTTTTGCAAACATTTGTAAGGAATATTGTTGAAAAAGTGTACTTACTCATATTTGTTCTGTTTTGTTTTTTTCAAAGGTAAATCATCTCAACCCACCATTATTACCTGTAAATGGGTATGTAAAGTGTAATTATAATAAAGTTTATGGATGTGGCTGCAAAGTAGACTGTTTTATTTCAGGTTTTGTAGCTAATGTACTTATACATCGTAATTATGCCAACTCACCCAGTTAAGATTGTCTTCAGTGTAGAAGCAGTAGTCTCCCAGTTACAGAATGAATTGGCCTTTCAGAGATTTGCTAAATCTCTTACCTAAAAGTAAGCTGTGATGATTTTTTTTTATAAAGAGAGAAAACTGGTTTTAATGTTACAGTATCATCATGAAGAGCAATTGGATTTTCTATTGAAAGTTTTATTTTTGTGGATTCTTTTTCCAAGGGTATCACATTATACTATCAATACAGTGCTGAACAGGAAATTCAAACATCAATATTACTTGTATCTGTTTCAGGTTTTATACATTTTGTTACTGACAGAGGAATCTTCATAAAAAGAGACATTTTCATCAATTTAATGGCAACTTGATCCTTCAGTTGAGGCTTCCCCCTAACAATTTAATTTAAAGAAGGGATGACATTTAGTCATTTTGGATGGGGTTCATGATCCAAAATCATCTATCCTGACCTCAGATTTCAGATCTCAATTGATTTTCATAAAAATGTTTTGTCTGCTGATAGACTTACCAACATCTTGGAAGAGTGTTAAGCAAGAAAGCCAGGAGATTGTTGATTAACTATTTGTTTTGTATTCACAGAACACATCTTTCAGAGGAGCTCAGCAATCAACCACAAGTTAGTTCATCTTTATTACTCATAAAAATTTTTGATATGATTAAATGCATCTAGACAAACAGACAGTAGGTAAATGTTAACCTTTCTTAAATTCCCAGTAGTGACCAACATGAAACTTTTCAAAATTTTAATGCATTACCCAGTACAGAAGTAAGGAGAAAAGACATTATTACTGATCAGGATTTGCCTGCTCTCTTTAAGGAATTGGTTGGTGGAGCTGTTGATCATCCTCTTCCATCTGGTTCAAATGACAGGTATGTGGAAAAAGCCTTTTTCTCAAATTAACTTTCCATAAAAGTTAATTTGTGAGCATGTATCCTGTGTATTTTACATGTATTTGTCTCCTATAATTTTCTCCCTGGTGTACTGTTTTTGAAATGTATTAGTCCACAGTCCAAAAAAAACTAAGGACAAAGATCAAGATGGTGGTTTTTTTTATCACAAACTTCAACCTCGTGTACAATGGAAATACGGAAAACTGGTCACATGACCTGGGATATGAGAAAACCTAAGCAGAAAGATCTAACAGTTTTAGTCCCTTGTTTCCAAATGCTGTTGTGCAGGAGGTAGTTAGGAGAAAAAAAAGAAAGAAGGAAAAGAAAATACTCCCTTTAAACCCTGGTTAAATGTGAAACAAGCACAAAGAGAAAGTATTACATGTATGCTTAACCTGACCAAGAGATGGCATCATTTGCCCTGCACCCTTCTGCTCTTAAAACTCCAGTTTTTATGTACACTCATGCCATGAGCTTCTCATGGTGGCAGCAAATGTTTTTGGGGAATTGCACTTTCTTACCAAAAACATGAGAGGGTTTTTCCTTCCATAACTTTATCCTTGTAATACTGTGGGATTTCTGATTGTCACCAACAAACTATGGTAATCTTTTATTTTGCAGAGAATACTCAACCACTGAAAAAATAAAACAACTCGTAAGTACTAACATGTACCTACATGTGTGTATGTGTGTACAATGTCTTCAAATTAAGCTGTAAATATAATTTGTTTTACCCATAGAGTACATGATTTAGCTCTGCAAAATGAAATGCTAATGTCTTTGAAATTTTATGATTTGTTTCTCAGTGTTCACAAATAAATGGACTTACAGTCAGCCAGGTGAGGAAAATTGACTTCTGATTTAGTGATACTACTGTGCAAAGTAGTAACTAGTGCATGTATACTACAGTTTTTTTTTTTGTAGAATGCAAAGATTTTGCCATTGCCATGGTAACTAGTAAAACTTTGCCAACAAAAATTTACATAAATTACTAAAAAAGTACTACAAGGCAATTTGCTGATCTGATTGGACTTAGTATGGAAAATTTGATTGGTCAAGAGCAGAGTATTTTAATTAATCAGTATACAAAAGCATGTGAAGTTGGCATATAATTCAATATTTGCAGCAGATATGCATTTGTCAGTTGGTTTCTTCAAGATAATTTGAATGATCAAACCCCATGTCTTTGTCATCTGCCAAAGCTGAAGACTGAGGCAGATAACTCAGACCCTGTTTTGCTATTATTCATGATATCATGCCTAACCTCGTGCAACAGTTGCTTATTATAAGTGATGTAGAATTCTAAAAGCTTTGAACTGCAAATAATTATATAGGGCTTGGTAACTTTATTGAAACTATTCACTAGAAAGAAATACTTGGAATATCATTCTATGGTTGCAATATCCAAACATTACTGTACAGGTATTACTCAGTGTGTATGGTTTTAACTTAAAGTGATATATTTTCATGAACTGTGATGTTCTCTTGGTAGGATCACTATATCAATGGTGAAGATCCACTTTTTCATGAAATCAAGTCTCTTGAGGTGTGTGAGTCTGCTTCTATTTGAAAAATGTTTTGAACTGTGTAGCTCCTGCAGTTCAGTTTAAATTTTCATGCTCATACTTTTATCAAAAAGCCAATTTCACCCAAATGCAATTATTAAGTTGATTTGACTTTTGTTTTCTTTCATTCTTTTTGTTTCTATTCCTGTCACAATCATTACTCAAGAATACTGTATTTGTGAATTTCTCTTACTGGTGTTGTAGAATCATGTCACAAGCAGTCATGTTGTATATCAATTTGTCACAAGTTGATAGGTTTTGTTTGTTCAGGACATTATTGATTTTAACTTAATTTAATGGTTTTGCATCATCATCAAATAACCTGTATATATATGTGTGATTTTTCCGACACGTGTTGTTTAGTTGATTTGTGAGTTAAGAGTTGTAAGTATCTGCAATTCAATTAAGGGATAGTTTATTCAATCAGTACACTATTGTCCAGTTTATAAAAGGTGCGATATTTGAGGGTAGGTTTTGCTGTTTGATGAACAGACTCTATATACTTCTTAGTACCATTCATTTTTTTTTCTACATGGGTGACTTCAACCCCATACTAGCTTAAAACTTATAAAGTCAATGTGTGTACTGTAGTTCTTCATGTTCAGGTGTACTGTATTAATTAGGAATTATTCCCTTACTGGTCAACAAGTTTTTGAAATAGGTAGTTACTTGATCTTTGTACTGTAGGATAATGATGATTAAAATTTCAAAAGCAACCTACTTTTAGTTCAAAGGAAAGTTGTTTACATGTATTGCAACACCTCTTTCTCTTGTGATTTTCAGAGTAGAAACCATGAGCTTGAAGATAGAGTACAGTCTTATAAGAGATCCAATGAACAACTAAACAGTCAAGTTAACGAACAGGTAACTTGTACATATTAAAATATCTGTTGAGATGCAGCAATTGAAGAAATTGCACCATGAAAAATTTGTAATGATTTTATTCAAAAGTGAGCTACAAGTCTCATTGAAATGGTTCAAATTGTACTGTACATAAAAGTGTTAGAGTAAACAAGTAGTTCAGCATTCCTTAAACATTTCTAGGGTTTTATTTGTTTCGTTTGATTTACTCTTACATTTGTTTTTCCCTTTCATATTGTTTTATTTTTTATATCCTTATTGTATTGCAGAGAAGACAAATAATACAGTTTCAGGAACAGATAAAACGAGTAAGAGTATCAAAAATTAAATTTTTAAAGTTAATGATATAATACCTGTGGATATATGTGCAGTTATACATAAACTATTTGATTACTGAGTGGCCATGATCTGTGTGCTTGATGTACAATACTAAATTTATAGTTAAATGCAATGATGGATAAGGTAATCAGTGTGTATAACAAAGCAAAGCATGATTCTTTGCCTTCTATTTCTTTTCTTCTGGGATGTATTACTTTTGAATTTACTGATTTACATGTACACGCTGTATCCTGCTCTTACACATGTACTGCAACAACCTTTTCCAGAAATTGTTTTCGCAGCCAGCCATATGCATGAACAAATGCTAACTGGATAGGTTAAAATTTATTTCTGATCAAGATAGGTATTTTTGTTATTGCTTTGATAAATCAAAGTAGTCTGTAGTATTGAAACAAGTGGTCATGGAAAATGCCGACCATCTGTGTCTCTGGAGAACACTGCTTAAATTCTTTAAAAAAAAAAAAAAAAAAAAAAACTGTGAATTTCATGTACTTGTAGCTGTTAAAAATTTTAGGCATGATCCATATCAACTTTCCTTTAGGAAAGAACAGAGTTGGCAAACAAACAGCTTTTGGAACAGAGGTCACTGAAAGAACAGCTTGAGGTGAGAATTGAAGAAATACATGTATATGTCATTTTAACATGTAAAATAAATGAATATAAAAAACTGAAGAAATCTATAAACTATTTTTAATTATTGCTGTGAAATATTGCTTAGGGTTAGATGTTTCTCTTAGCAACAGATATGGCCATTGAAATATGCTCCTGATAAGAGGTGTCAAAGCCTGATGTAGATGGTCATTAGCCTTTGCTTCTATCTGTAAAATTAATAGCTTCTACATGTCTATGCCTGATCATTATAAGCAATTATGGAAGAGATATAGTGTATGTTGGTTTCTGAATCCATTCTTATATTTTGTCAACCTCTGTTATTGTCATATCCTCTTAAATGTTGAAATTTCAAAGTACAACCTATAGAAGTGATTATCAGATGATTGCTTTTGGATGAAAATCCTTCAATGTGTAGATTCTGTTTTGAATTTGTTGATTAGTAAATAGTTTGTGATTCACTTCCTTTTTTTGTTGTTGTATTTTTGTACAGTATTTTTTAAAGCTGTGCTCTTGTTTTCATCCAGGTTCATATTCAGACGATAGGTATTCTAGTGGGAGAGAAACAAGAGCTTCAGAGCTCTGTGTCACAACTGCAGAGGAAATATGAAATCAAACAAAGTAGGTTGCTTGTGATTACACTGTGCCACAGGACTTGATGCTGTAGCAGGCCCAATTATTGTAAACTTGAATGTAACTTAGGCCTGTGCCACAGGACTTGATGCTGTATTTTCAAATGCAAATGCATAATTTCCAACTTTGTGCACTTTGCACCCAATGATTGTTCACTTTCAAGATGGTGAAAGGTGATTAGAAATTATTTTGCATATTGTGGAGGGATGTCCAGGTTTGGTTTGTTAAATAAATTGGTTATGTAGAGTGACATGCATACTACGTGTATGTGTCTATAGTAAAAGGCAGCATGTTCTGTTTGGATCCAATGATGACTTACTTACAGCTGCATTTTAGGAACGCACTTAAGTATACATTAAGTTGTCATTCTTGTGGTTCTTCTCTTCTGCCTTATCTTTAACTCACTGTCCAAACTTCTTGTTTTTCTTTCCTATTTTTTATTTTTCTGCCTTGCTAAGTATGTCATCTGGTGGTGTGGATGATGGTAGTCCTTAACCCTTTCACTCCCAAGATCTCATCAGTAATTCTCCTTAAAGTCTGCTATACAATTATTTTACTGTTGCTTCAGAGATTTGGCATTGGATCAACCAATAATCTCCTAACTGATATTTTTCTTTATTCTCATTATTCACTCTTCTACTTGATATTGTATTGATGTTGTAAGGAGAAATTCTGTCCACTCATGGGAGTTAAGGGTGAAAAGACTATTGAAAGTGAACAAGACCATTAATATTTTTTTACAATCTCAGTGGAGATCATTGTCAGAGTTAAGGAAGTAATTGTCTGGCATTCAAATGCAGCAACTAATCACCACCAGCACATGCTGCCTGAGTCTTGCAGTCAGTAACATAAATGATTATTGAACTGTTAGTTTGTTTGACTCGGGATAGCACCATGTTTCAACTGCTATACTGCTAGTCGTAGTCAGTGTAGGAATTCATAGATTTTGGGTCACTATTTATGTGACACACTGTCATTGGTTTGTTTCAATTGTCATCATCATCCCAACATGTTCCAATGAGCTGATTTTGTTCCCTTATGACATCATGGCTAAACTAACGAACTCAATTTTGACGAAACCAATTTTGTAGCAGTTGAGATACCAGAATCTTCATTATAATCTGATTTAGTTTGGAATACATGGAGTACTGTCATAGAGAAACAAAATTTTAAGGACCACCATTACATTACTGGATAATTAATAATTAGGATAATCAGGCTGTAAATTCAACTGTTTCTCCCTGGCTTAGAACATTTACTTCATTTGATTTCTGATTTTCTACTGTTGATTCAATCAAAGCCTCTTTTCTTCATTCCATGTCAGGTGAAAACACAGAACTAACAAGCAGGTTACAAACTGTTCGACAAAAAGCAGCTGAGCTTGAGAAAAATCTAGCAAATGTCACTGCAACCTGTGAAAAGTATGAAGATGTAAGTTTATCCAATTTAAAATGTATCAGTTTTTTGTTTTATCCTTCAATATAACCATACAACCAGATGAATTTATGTTTGTGATACACTGTACTCTGCAACCTAACCAAGCCTTGATTGCAATAGTTCATTGTATGACCTAAACAGCCCTGATGCGCTTTTATTGACGGACATCTCAGAAAGACCTTAGTATAAAGGACTTATGCAATTTGGTAGACTGGTCCAGAAATAGCTGCTTGCTGCAGATGCAGCTCATTGGAATGCAAGCTGTGCACTGATATGAAATCTTGAATGATTGTTGGGTTGTGGGTGAGAATGGGGTCATATCATTGGATCTTTGAAGAAAAAAACAGGGAAATTACTTGTAACTAGCTCAACCATTGTAGGATGGGAAACATGCAAGAAGAAAGGAAGAAAAAGAAAGAAAAGCAGTCATATGTTAGAATTTGCAACTTTGCAAAATTTGTTATGGCTCCACCAAAGTATTCCTGTAATCAAGCAATCATATTTTCTAACAGGATGTGAAGCAACTTCGGCAAGAAAGAGATAAATATCAGACAGCTAATTACACGCAAAAGTAAGTTTCCCTATGAATAATTTGTATGTGGAGGTTTGTTATGCATGATGTTACTTTACAGTCCTACTAAAAAGATAGACATGATTCCATAGATGTGTTTTCCATGCGTAGCATCTGTGTAACAGGGTAGTATGATGTTCCAGAAAATACTGTTAGGCTTGATATTATATTTTAATGTAACACTCACCTCCAGAAAACTTCTTTAAATAAAAACTACAGATAATTTAGATAATTTTTCTTTGAGTTTCATGTCTACATATGCATGATATAATCATATTATTTACTTTTCCACATATTGAAAAAATGTAAGCCTCTTTACTTCTTATATTCTCCTTTTCCTATCCTTGTGATTGCTAAATTATTTTATGAAACCCTGCCCCAGACCTTGTGTTATTTTTTTTTTTAGCCCTTTGCAATTTTCTCTTTCTTGGGTTGTTTGAATATTTTTATGAACTGCACTGATTTATGGACTTCCACTAATTTATTGTTTGTATGCTCTGGGGTGTTTCTGGTTTCAGCCAAGAAAAGGAAGAACTTTTACAACAAAATGCTGAGCTTAGAGTGAAGTTAGAATCCAAGGTTTGTCCCAAGGCAGCATTGTGAACTACAGTAATAAACCCATTCAACTTGACACATCGCTACATTACACACTATAACAGATCATAGAGTAAAAATATTTTGTCACTTAAAACTTGAACAACAACTCTCAGTCCCGCAAGACTGAGGATCCAGTAAGATTCAAGTTTAAAGAGGCTCAAAACTGTGAGAGGAGCAAACAAATCAAAGTTTAGCTCTTCTATCATATGTTCAGGAATTTTCTCTTTGATGTTACAAGTGCATTTACTTAAAAGATTGCAACTTTTAAAGTCTTTTATTGGAACACATTATGTCTTGCTGATCCAGACACTTACATTCATTTACATGTTTGTTTCTCTGTAGACTCCTAGACATGACTGTTCTCGTGTTTCGATATCAGTTCTCTTTGCTGTTTTTCATACTTTATCACTGTTGCTCTGAAAATTTTACATGAAAGAACTATTTCTTAGTTCACATTTTCTTTCTTCCTATCACCTTTCTGTTCAAAATTGTATTGATATTATAAAGAGAAATTATGTGTAATTTATTGAATGCTCCTGAGAGTGAAAAAATAAACCCCTTCACTCCCAAGATTGACCAAACAAGGGAATGACTAATGAGGAGCTTCTCTTTACATTATCAATACATTTCAGGCAGAAAGGTGTTGAGAAGAAAGAAAAAGATCAGTTAGGAATATTGTTAGGCTTAATTTCCTCCACAATTTCCTCCACAATTTCCTCCACAATTTCCTCCACAATTTCCTCCACAATTTCCTCCACAATTTCCTCCACAATTTCCTCCACAATTTCCTCCACAATTTCCTCCACAATTTCCTCCACAATTTCCTCCACAATTTCCTCCACAATTTCCTCCACAATTTCCTCCACAATTTCCTCCACAATTTCCTCCACAATTTCCTCCACAATTTCCTCCACAATTTCCTCCACAATTTCCTCCACAATTTCCTCCACAATTTCCTCCACAATTTCCTCCAGTGTCCAGTATTTACTCGAAGGGAGGAGCACAGGCTCATATTCCCAAACAGCAACTGGTAATCAAGCCTGGGATATTGTTTGATTTAGCAAAAGCAAAATTTATGAAAAATAGATGACAGACAGTGCTGGGAATGAACATTTATTACATCCATTTTGAAATCACTGGTGATCCTTGTAATCTGCTTGGCTCTCATTGGTTTTTTGCAAATTGCACCATTTTTTTGCTATAAATTGCATCTTTTTCCTGGCCAACTAGGAAGCTTCACTGAGATGGAACAACCAATTGCTTGTTTAAAGACACCAATGAAACTGCAGGAAAATGAAAAACAACTTTGCTTTCAAATTTCTACAAATCAGCTCACTATTGGATCAACAAAATATTTGTATAGACTAGGAAATCCAGTATCTGAGCCACTGAATTTTGTGATGAAATAAACTAGTAATTGAACTTTGTGCCATGCGATTTTGGTCTGAAATCATACTTGTGATTTCAAATCAAACTCATGCTGTGCACTTGTTTGATTTTGAAATAATGCATTTGATTTTGGGCCAAATTGTACTCCACTCAATTACTATTATTAATCTTAGGTTTGAAAGGGTTAATAAGGCTAGCAAAATAAAAACTCTTTGGTAAATGAGGTATTCATTATTTTGTTTTGATCTCAACCTTCTAGGTTTCTGAGTGTGAAGATTTGAGCAAGACTGAATCAGAATTATCATTTAAGTTGAAACAGGCTCAACTTGTGGTTCAGCAGGTTTGTCCTCTCAATTTCTCACATTGATTAATTTTTTCACTCTAAGATGGCAATATCATTTCTCCTTACTGTCTGCCTGGCATTCCTTATCCTTCTGACCCTCAAGAGTGACCAGCATCTAATTTCTCCTTACAATATCACCACAGAATTGCACATCAAAGTCATGAGAATAAAGGAAATGATCATGAACTAAAGAAACTCTTAATTGCAAGACAATTTCTCCTTGTCAGTACTATTGGAAATGTATAAAGAACAGTATGAAGAATATGCATACTGATTTTAAGGACCTAAGGATTGATATTTTAGCTCTGAGAATTTGGTGTGAATTCTGTTACTCCCAAGATGTCACTAGTACTTCTCCTCACTATCTGCCAAACAATTCCCCAGGTGTCAGTTTGGAGAATTAGGTATTGGATCAACTAATAATCCCCTAATTTGTAGGAATTTGAAGCAGAGCGGAATAAATATTTTAAGAGGAAAAAAGGACGCAACTTAAACCCCTGAAGAGTGAAGCGATTCACGAAACAGGCTTGTCGGGAAAATGTAGTTGCGTCCTTTTTTCCTCTTATATATATATATATATATATATATTTTTTTTCTAACTGCCAGTTGCTAGAGGGGGTGACCGATCATTTAACTTTGCCTTTGTCCCTTTTGTAAAGCTTTCAGGAGAGCCAAACTCTTCAGCAAGCCACCAGTTAATTGAGCAATTACAAAGCGAGAAAACCGAACTGGAGAGTAGATTAGAACAGGTAAGCTGCACTGTATATTAGTTCATTTTCAGTTGGTCGAATAAAGGAATAGTACAAACTAGATAATATTTTGATGCTTAAAATCACAACTTCTGCAAAATATTAAGATGTAGGATACCATCAACAGCAAAAAAAATTGTGGTATTTACTGTACTGGAACCAAGAAAAATTGTTGTGGACCAGATATGGGGATGTTATTCTGACTATTGTATATTTTTTCCCTTGTCATCAAAGGTTAATAGTACTGTACAAAGAATTGCAACAGATAAAGGAGAACTCCTACAACAGCACGCAGAAGAAGTAGACCAGTATGAGAGAAAGTTAAGAGCCTTGACAGATGAGGTCAGTTCAGTTGCTTTGAAAACATTTACTTCACTCTTTATTTACCCCTAAATTTCGAAGAAGTGCTTTTATAGCAGACGTATTTACATGTAGGTTCTGGAGAGAGCATTTTCTAACCTAATGACGATTTTATCGGGAATTTGCACCACATTACCGCTCAGGAGTAAGTTAACATAACCACGAAACTTGATCCTCCTAAACGTCGCGGATCAAGGCCCAAGTCGAGTTTCGAGACGTTCGAGTCGAGTGTCCGGATGCTCATAACGAGTTTCGAGACACTCGAAAAGAGGAAACAAAGGAATTTTCGCGTGATTAATTTTTCACTGGACTTGAAGCTTCTTACCTTTAGTCGTATTCACGGGATGAAAATCCTAACAGCGTGCATCGTTGCCGGTCCGGCGAAACTTTTCCCGAACAAGTTGTGATAGTTTTGACAATAACCTCGTAAATTCTTATTTTTACTCTTCGTTGTCTCGCCTAATTATTGTTAATGTTTTGCCGCGTCGAAGAGCATCGCTGCCACTCGGCCATGTCAGAAATTTCCTTTATTAACAAATCTCCCGTTTCTTCTCACTGCGCTCTTTGTTTGGTATTGGAAACTCTTGTCACCCTTTTAACCAGGCAGATGCAAAACCTTCCCCATCCAGACTTGCTTTTCTTACTTTCTCGGTTTGCTGCCGTAGATACAACTTTGCTTTCAATAATATTGGCTACGTGTGAATTTTAACTCTGTTTTGATTGGCTCTTGTAATTGTTTTGGTTTTAGTTTCCCAGTATTCAATTGTAAATTTATCGAAAGCTTATTACCTAAAAGTATTAACTCTAATAATTTCAAGGTTGCACACTTTTCACGAATCAACGTTAAAGGGAAATGATGCCTTCAAAAAGGGTGGCCCTCGTCCTCCTTTAAACTTTGTGTGATCTAGTGTTATTAACGCCGCGGTCGAACGTCTGCGCATATACGAACGTTGTAATGAATAGGTGGCGCGCTTTCAGGCCGTCAGAATCAAGTTGTCTCGCACGAGTTACAAACAACTACACAAGCCAGTAAGTCACGGTGTTTTCAAAGCTTATAACCTTTTTGCCAAAGCCCAAAACAGACTTTTAAATCAACAGGATACCCGTACTTGAATAAGCTTTGTGTTTGAAAAGTCTCGAGTTTTCCTTTTCCCTGCTTTTGTTTCCTTTTACAGATATCGATGAAAATTTCAATTTACTTTCGCTTATTTAGCGAGACAGCGGTTATTTCTTACGTTTCCTTAGAAATTTGGCGCGGGAAATTGGCGCGCGGGCGCCCAAAATTTATGTACATGATCAATGTTTGACCGCTGTGTTGCTCTGCCTCAGCAGACACTGCAAGTGAACCGCAGACTGACTAAATGCAGGCGCTACTCCATTGTCTTCCCAGACAGACGGATGCTAACAAGTATGAACATGCGCATAACTTATGATAACTTTGCTTTTTTTATTTTTATTTTGAAGGTGGAGTCACATGACAGGGAAAAGAGGTTTTTGATTGCGAAGGAGAGTGAACTTCAAGATGCAGTGCAGAGTTTACAGAAGGAATTGGGTCAGTACGAGTGCAGTGGGTGAAGTTCATTTACCTACATGTACACCGTTATTTTGAAATTTCAAATCACATTCGCCTACAGTTCGTCCCTTAACGAATACTTCAAAAAATCTATTGTGTTCACAATTCAGTTTTAAACTTACGTTCATGCGCTCCCTCTTCTTGTTATACGCAGCTGATCTGCGAGACAAGGAAGCAAGTCAGCAAGTAGAATCAACACAGCTTGCCGCAGCAGAGATTGAGAGATTAGCGGAGGATAAACAGAGGCTGGCTGAACACTTACAGCAAGAGGTACATGCATTGCCTCACTTTTTTAACCCAGTTTTTTTTTCCTTTTTTGCGCCATAGCAATTCCCTAATATTTTCTCATTATTCAGACTCATTAATGTCTCCGTTTTGTCATGCATCAACCTCACTAGGCGATACCCATTTCCAAGTCAAAACCATTTGTGTAATACTGATATTTCAAATGACTCATTTGTTACATTAACTTACACAGACCAACAGAATAAACTGACCTTATCGAGAGATTGAAGCTGACTACTCACAACCGAACTTCGCTGTTTAAGTCTTACAATACATAACAGAACAGCAAAACTGACTAATCAGTTTCAACGAATCAGACTTCAAACAAATGAGTGACAACAACTTATTACTTGATCCTGGTAATGATTCCTGCTCCGGTTGGAGAAATGTCACTTTGTCAGTCACAGTCTTTTCTAAGGGTTACGCCCACCCTAATAATAACTCTATGCGATCGATGACCAGTGTTTTCTTTTTCCATACAAATGTATGAATTTTCCACACAGTCTTATTGTCCTTACGTGCTGTTTTCATCAGATCTTTTAGCACATTATTACAAAGGTTTTTTTAGATGCACTCATTTCTATGTCTCTTTATAGGGTAAAGAAAATTCAAGACTCGTAAGGTAAGTGTTGTAATGCAATGTACCATCGTGCTGTATTTAAATGTCTCTGTGCATGAAGAGAACTTCAGGTCTTGACAGTGCATGAAATTCCTAATGGGGAGTAGCCTGGGGACTAGTCATCTTGCAAGGGTCGGAGGAACTTTTTTTTGGACGGGGGAGGGAGAGTGACCACATGTTTTTCAGGGGGGTCAAAAGGATACTGTCATTTTACTCATAGAAGACATCTTGTTTCCACTGCGCTCCTCAACAGCAGTCTATCTTTCAAGTTCTATACGCATCACTGAAATGAGTTTTTCGCTTCCTTCTAACACGTTGCGGACCTCTTAAGGAAACATGTTCTGTGACTTTTAGGGTTCAACAGATCATACTTCAGAGTTGTTGGTGGCTCTCGGTCTTGAGGTTTGTCGGTCGTGGAAAAAGGTGCATTAAACATTGTTGATTTATTTATGCCTTCCCTAGGGAGCAGGAGAAATATCTACTGAGAATACAGGAGCTAGAGACAGCCGTAGCCCGCCTGGGTGAGGAGTCTATTGATAAAGCTACTCTCCTGGAAAGTGTTCAGAGTGACAAGGAGACTATCAGCAGGTCAGAAAACCTCATTTTTTTATGTCCCCTTTCACTCCCAAGATTTCCTTTCTGTCTGCCATACAATTCTCATGATGTTAGTTCGGAGAATTTGGCATCGGATCAACTTATAATCCCCTAATTGATATTTCTCTGCATTCTTAGCACTTGTCTGCTTGAAATTCATTTTGTTAGTTTCTCAGCAAGAGAATAAGTGGCAGTAAATGGTCTAAAAAGCGGGTACTCCACACTAGCTAAACTATGTGAGAAAATCCAGTTTGAAATTGTTGATATTTACATCAGTACCTATGACTAATGATTAAGTTTATGAACCCCCTCCCTATTTAGGTCTAAATGCCTTGAGTGTCAAGTTCAAAATCGAATTTTCTCGGACTAAATAATGTAGAGGTAAAAAGTGGTGGATATTTTCCTAGCCGGGAAGCGGCTAGCTAAATATCCACCACTTTTACCACAAATTTCATGCTGCAGCTATTTATTCGTGTTCTTTACAGGGCTTTGAAACAGAATAAAGATTTAAAGACCAAGACGGAAGAATTGGAAGAGAGATTTATAAAAATGGTATGTATTTGTATAATGCTTAACGTCATTAAAAAGTTCTTTTAACCTTTGGTTTCCTCATATCTTCTAAAATATGAACTAAATCCCCCATTCGTTTCGCCTTTTTCTACTTTTGTCACTCCATGACAGCTTTTTTAACTAAATATATGCCGCCTGTCATGAGGATGTGATCATTTTTTCAAGCGGTAGTCTTTGCACAGCCTTTTTGCCTTTTGTCTCCCCTTTAACCCTTTAACTCCCATGAGTGACCAAGATTGAATTTCTCCTTACAATATCAATACAATATGAAGCAGACAAGTGACGAGAATATAGAAAAATATCAATTAGGGTATTGTAAGTTGATCCAATACCAAATTCTCCAAACTAACATCAGAAGAACTGTATGACAGACGGTAAAGAGTCTTGGGAGTTAAAGGGTTGCTTGGCAATCAAGTACACCAGAGCGCGCTGAGCATAAGCTGAACAAGCATAAAGGCGAACAGACTTGAACCTGAACTTGTATAAACTTGTTGGTTGACAGAGTCAAGAAAACATGGAGCTCACAACACGTTTGGAAACTGAGCAACATATGGCTAAGGAACTCGCAACAAAACTGAGCGATATGGGAGTTGAACTGGAAGAGTCCAAACAAATGGTGGGTGTCGTTAGGATCCAGTAGTAAGGGAAGGAAAGAGAATTAGCGAGACTATAGAGCTCTTTTTGTTTTGTGAGGCGAATGAACCGCTGTTTACACAAGACGCGGCCTGAATGAGACGCGAATGTTAATATATGTAAATGGTATATTTTGACTTGTACAAGCTGCTGTTACGATCAGTGTTTCAGTACATGAGGAGATCTGTCCTTGGTAGACACTAGTGATATTGTGTGCATGTACTGAAAATGTTCAGAACACTATTAGAACAAATTATAGCCAGGAAAAAACATTATCTTTTATAAAAAACTTGAGATTCGCCTACTTCACAAATCGCTTATTGATTCTTCTGTTGTATGTAGCTCCTTGTGAGGAATTCTGAGGTTCAGTCACTTACAGAAGAACTGCAAACTGCTAACAACAACCTTAGAGAAGAGGTTAGTGAGTCTGCTCCATTGCATTGGCCATCTTTTTTAATGGTACAGCTCATCCGCCATTTCGTCTTCCTTAACAGGTAATCAAAGGAGAGAGTGTGATATCTTCACTCCGAGATGAACTTGATGTATCGTCACAAACGTTCCTTGATCAGGTTTGTAACGCTTTGCCACAATTCAAGAGTAACCTACCTATGTGAAAATTATCTTCAAGACTTCGACTACGGCCGCTGCCATTTTGAATCCTGCTTAGCAGCTTAGCAACCTGGCCCTTGTGACGTATTTTATGGCTGATTCCGTCTTTTTTCCATCTTTGGCGATCTACTTGAACAACGAGGAGCTACAACATTCTTTACACTGATAATTAGTTTTCGCGATAAACAGACAGCAGCTATTTGTGAATTGCACATCGTGGCTCCCACCTTTAAAATTGTCGAACATCGTGTGTGTGTTAACAAACCCTACTATTATGGAATCGTTTTTCTATGAATTTGGACCCGTTCTGTGTTGCTAGAAATCGTTTCGTCAAACCTTTTAAAAGTACATTAAAGATTTACTAAAGATCTTAGTAGCCAGGCTAAGCCACGTACTGTTTGATACAAATTCTCGTGGTTTTTTTTCCTTGGACTTACGATCTAAGGGGGAAGCAATGAGGAAGAATTCGTTCCGGAACGTACTCTACGGAATTCCAACACGATTGTTGAGAGCTTATCTTATTTTCTCTCTCAAGATGACTCACCACTTCATTTAACTGAACCTAATCAGTAACGGGAGTTTGTTGGTACAATCACAGCGATGATGAAACATCTTAAAAAATATTGACCTTGATTACAAGATTATACGCTATCCTGAGCTGTGGTAATTTCTGTCAACTCCTGTGTTGTGTATTGCCGTTCCCCTCGGTTACACTTCCTCATGACGATGTGAGGCGGTCCCTTCTAGCAGAACTAACTTGATTTGATTTGGCTCGAGCCATTTCAAATACTTGACTTAAATCGCGTTCAAAGCAGAAGTTGGTGCTCAGTGATTTATGTCATGTCATACCCATATGATTGCCCCTTAAATGTTTACATTAATATTCACAGATCAAGCAGAAGGACTTTGAAATTTCCGCTATTCGTGGAGAAATCGATAGATCATCAGAACCACTCAGAGAACAGGTAACTCTCTTTTACTATGATATTCCTCTCTCTCGTTGATCAGGTGAAATATTCTCATAACCCACACGGTTCAAGTTATAGAAACACTTAGAAAAGGAATAACTTGTAACTCTAGCTCGCAGCGGTAAAGGAGAAATAGTTTCGTTTGATGTGTGGAGCATTATAACAACGTTTGTTGCAAAGTACTTAATTGGCGTTCTCCTTCTCAGTAACTTTATTTGGTACCTGAGTTTAAAAAGGATATAACATCTAGAGTGTGGTTTATCAGTGAGAAAATAATATTAGAGGTAACAAAGAATTGTTCCTTCTTACTTGTAGCTGGCCAAGAAAGAGTTTGAATTGGCCACTCTTAAGGAGGAGCTAAGCCAATCAGAGGCGAGGCTGACTGAACAGGTACGTCGTGTTACAGCACATTTTATGCCTCAAGGCATCTGAAATTAGTAACGCACTTAAAAAATAAATAAAAACCCAGTTTGCCTAGCCTATTGTTCAGGCGTCTTGTTAGGGAGAGTAAACGTTACAAGTTCGCGATCGTTTATTCGACCGGCCACGTTCGATTCAGAGTTAGAGTAAACGGTGGGGGAAGGGAAAGGCGAGAAGATTTCTACTGCCCCACCTCCTCCCCTCTCCTTCCTTTTTAATGTTGATTACCTCTTTCATCACCCTGCCTTCCGTTGGTGTAAAAATCAAAGAAGGCAGCTATAATTTTCATCAAGAAAATACTGAGCAACTCGCTCGCCAAAATTACGCTTGCTCAGCAGGCTACAGTTTGCATTGTATTAGGGTTTATGATAGAAAAGTGAACTTTCCGAAAATTGTCTACGGCAGTTCATCTAGTTTGGTCAACTTATAGTTGACAGTTCGCCATAAAATCTGGTACCATCATCATATCTGGTTTATCTTGAAACTCACCGGTTTGTGTTTTCACTTCTAGTTCCTCTTGAATGAGGACAGTCAGACGTACAGGAATGAGGCTGAACTTACTAACAGTTTACGACAAGAACTGCAGTTAGCCCAGGTAACAGATCCACATAATGCTCTCGTTAATAAGCTTCTAAAACCAAGTGACTCAATAATATACTACCTTCAAGATCCGTGGAACGATCATGGCTAATACTTTTCTACCAAAATTCGGTAAATAGTTTTTAAATTTTCGTCCAGTTTTGAGTTTGTATTGTTTATCCAGAGCAAAAGGAAGACGTTGGACTGCACTGGTTAGTGTCCACAATGGCGTTCGGAAAGCTGTTGATGACAAGAAATTGGTCATTCGGTATTACCCGTGTTGTCGGCTGCTTATGACACCGTGGATCATACGCTTTCGTTTCTACTAGTTCAGGATTATATCGAACGCTTTTTTACTGACTTATAATGTTATAGAGGGACTGGCACCGAGCGGGAAGGGAAGGTCAAGGGGTTTCCTGCAGTGGACGAGTATTGCATCCAGAGGGAGTAGCTTTGCTCTTAGTCTTTCTATGCTCCTAAAACCGTGCAAATTAGCTCCGGAAGCTCTGCGAGTAAGTCTCTTATAGAGAGTTTGCACTAAGATGATGATTACCTCCGTTTCCGTTTAGGAATCGATCAGGATAGCAACAACCGAAAATTCTCAGCTGAAAGCAATGTTATCCAGTATAGAGAACCACAGCAGCATGGAACCGTCACCAGGCGAGAGTAAGTTTATTTATAAATAAAGGGGGTAATTTTCTAAAGAAACTGTGGTGCTGCGTCGGCGGGAGAGTATAACAGGGTAATTTCGTGTTATCAACTGAGTTGAAAACGTTAATTGGCCACCGTAAAGAGTTCAAAGGCTGACGTTTCGAGCGTTAGCCCTTCGTCAGAGATAAGTTTGCTTATAACTTGGTATTGCGTCAAAAGCAATACCAATAACAGGAATGGCAACAAGATTGCCAGTGATGATGATGGTGTTAGTCGAGGAGTGAGTTACTTAGATTAGAAGAAGTTTTCAGTTCTTCAAGTCCTGGCAAATCGCACGGATTATTAGCCTGTAACGCTCAGAGGATATCAACATGTAATTTCTCCTAACTGTATCAATTTATCATCCACCAAGCAGGTGGTAAGAATAGACAAACTTATCAGTGTAAAGGTGTTTTCTTGTATCGACATTAAATTCTCCTGATTTACCAGGAAATATGCAATACCCAGAAGGGAGAATTAGAAAAAAGATATTGGTAATTAATGGAGTTACACTAATATATACTCAGGTTCAGATGATTCAGATGACCCAGCTGTGACTCACGCAGGTCACGTGTACAACGGAGATGCCGCCTTTAACATCAAGAAGCTTTCCCCTGAGGAGACCTCGATACAAGCCACGAAGAATACTTTGGAGGAGTCATCTCCATACATGAACGGAGACGTGAGCGAAGGAGAGAGCCCTCTGGACACGGACTCCAGTGAGGATATGAATATGGCACCTCACAACAGCTCCCCGCCCCCTCCCCCACCATCCAAATACACCAGCAGAGAAGACATGGTGAGGATAAGGTGTAGTTTAAAGTGGACGAGTGAATGGGGAAGTAGTATGCAAGCGCCCACCCCCCGATTTGTTAATGAAATATTGAGTAGAGAGTAACGGGGTTAGTTCAGCAAACTCTCCTGTAATCCTCTCCCCACCCCTCTCCTCTCCTCCCTTTACCCTCTCCTCTCCCCTCCTGCTCTATAAACTATTTGTGAAACCACTCAATTGACGTGGCTGTGAATTTGTCTTAATTACATCTTGCCCCTATTACAACACCTCGCCAATAATATTAGAGGGTCAATACCTTAGGTTGTGACAGAGGAGGGCAGCATTCTCACCAATTCCCACCATGGCAACCAGGCTACTGCCTGGCAACATAAAACTGCTGTGTGGAATAAATACTCAGCCAAAGAGAGGGAGGGAGGGAAACAAAGCAAATAAGCAAATTGTGCGAAATCATATGGCATTGCCTCTGTAAACCTCCCAGCAAGCCCTTTCCTCCCCCCCCCCTTCCTTCCAACCTCCAACCTCGCATTGGTGAGACCGCTGTATTGACTCGGTTTTCACCTCTTTTAGGTTGATTCATTGTCTGCGTCCATCCGACAACTTGAGATGGAGCGAGACCAGCTGGCTGATATTTTACATCGAACGCAAGATCAACAGGAAGACGACATTATGAGATTACAACAACACTTGGAACTACAGCTCAAACAGCAGCTCCAACAACAATATAGACAGGTACGTAAGGTTTTACCCACGAGCTTTCTTCCTTTCGTAGCGTATTTCTTTTCGCGAGTCGGTGGAAATCAGTGAACAAAGATATTCCGGTGTCGCGTGTTGCTCACAGAGTCTGCGCCGACAGACTCTGCGCCATCTGTGTTGGGTAATTGTTGGGAGATTTTGATAAGAAGTTGCGCGTTAGTTGCGTCTGGAGAGTAACTGGTGAAGCTAAAACTTCCGTTTATATTTCCTTCATTTTGAATTGTTATCTTTATGCCTAAGTTTTATGAAGGGATTTTCCAACAAAATTCTTACCACGCATAATCTTAGAATCTCAAACGCTCCTTTTCTCGAAGGCGTTCTTGACCTACGAACCCAAACTGATGTGACCCAAGAAAAAGCCGCTTGAAATAGTATATCTAGAATGCCGTAATTATGTAATTTAGTCATCATGCGTGACCGATATTGATCATCCCATAGCGTGACAATCACCTTATTTCTTGCAAGGTTTAGCATGGCATTTCGGTACCTAGAGTGAACCAGCATGACGTAGTCTAAAATTATTTCTAAGTGCACACTGGAAAATTAATTTTTTGCTTGTTGTGTGACGAATCTTCTCATGTGACAGGTGCAAGAGCAGTTTCAGCAACAACTTCATGAGCAGCAGCAGAAGATTCAACTGCTGCAGGCTGTAGTTGAAAAACAGAAGGATCAGATCGAGAGGAAGGAAGAGCCAGAGCTACCCAACATTCCACTCGATCAGCTCAGTGATAAAGATATGTCACACGAAGCAATTAAGATGGCTTTCAGCAAATTGCAGGTAATGTGCCGATAAATTATAAAGCTGATCGATACTCAAAGTGGAAAGACAAAAGAATTAAAAACGATTTAAACCTAGACGATGAATGGAGATGTTTTATCAGAAGTCATGGGAACTCAGACTTTTCCGTTGTTGAAAATTAGCAGATCCCAATTGTTACTTTTTCTTTATTACTGTTCCTGTTGCTTGTAAGACAACAACGAAATTTATTTTGTTTAAAGCATCCGCCACCTCGGAAGGAAACTGCGCTAAGAAGTTTCTATCGCTTGATGACAACAGCCCAATTTTTCTGCAGCACTGTCGACTTTTTCATCATCCTCCCGAAGACTTTAAAGAGAAAAAAAAAACAAAAATTAATCCTCCCTACTGCGGCATTTTCCTCCAATTTTAGTGAATATCCCTTTGTTTATTGTCCATGTCCTTGGTGACTATTTATTCCAGGCGCGGTTCATGAAATTAATGAATGAAAAAGCGTCCCTCATAGAGAGAATTCAGGAACTTGAACATGTCACCATACAACTGTCCCACGAAACAGAGACCATCGGTGAGTACCTCCTATGAGTTCATTGAGAGAAGGGCCGGATGAAGAAGCTCTTGTGAATTTACTTTCTCTGGTGACGTTGGATTGTTTTGATTATAATTATCGTTATTTGGTTTTGTGATGCAACGGCAGACAGGGTGGTGAGGATGGAAGTTGCGCTTTTGTGTTGAAGCCCGAGTACTTGTAAGATTTCTATTTTACAGTGACAAGGCTGAGTACAATCTCAGGGGAATGCAATTGCTCAGCAAAATTCGTCCCAACCCATTGCCCATAATACTGCTCGTAGCTCTTAATTTTTCTCACCACGATGCAAAATACCACAAACTTAGCCGGTGAATGTGAAGAGCTAGCGCCCACTCCACCCTTTCTGTTCTATCGCGGTTTGCTTGTGCTTACTGTGGAACAATTTTAGTAAAGACGCAGCACTTTTTGCGCCAATTAAATGTAGAGCTTAAACGAGTCGAGAAAACGTCAACGTCTTAGGTCGTCATGTTTACGTGCAATTTTCCCACTGACTCCGTGGAGTATAAACTTTGATGTTGTGATGACTTTAATTTTGACTTTACATTTCAAACTTCAACTAATACCTGACATGTTTCTTGGCTTTAATGTATGTAGGGGAGTACATTACTCTTTATCAAACCCAGAGGAATGCTCTGAAGTCTTATTACAAAGATCGAGAGAAAATCATTGCTCAGTTGTCAAGCGAAAAGGCCAACATGCAGGTCTGTGGTACATAAATAATGTTTCTAAGTTCTGAACTCGTAATGATATCATTTCATAGGCAGGCTCTTTTATTTTCATCAGCTGAATGGTTGAAACTACAGTATTGTGAAAACAGCTGAGAAATAGTTTATTCATCTATCCCGCTGACTCTAAATATAAGATGCGTCCTTTTACTGGAGGCATGTTTCTCTGCTTAGACATAGAAATCTTAAAATAAAAAGAAGCAGGGAAAATAAAACTTTTGCCTCAAGAGGTTGAATTTATTTCCTCACGCCGACAGAACGGGAAATTCATCCAACTTGTCAAGAGCTTTCGGGTGACGTCAGGGTAAACCTTATACTATCCTAAAGACATCTTTCCACATTTTCCACAATTTCGATCTTATAAAAAAATGTCAATCATTTGCGAGTTGGACGAAGAGAAATCTTGCGCCTCTTGTGAGGGTCTAGGATGTAAATTTTTATAGAGTGTGCAGATTTTCTCTGTCCTACATCCTTGAGAACTGTTATCAAAACATTCTTCTTCAGTCAACGGATGAGCTTCAGAGTGTACGATCTTTCTTGCTCTAATTCCAATCTTGTCACTGCCTGCCCCCCCCCCCCCCTCCGGCCCCTTAGCACGGGTGACTTGAAGTTCTTAACAGTGCCTGCAAATTTCAGGGAAACTCTCCCTCAAACATTTTTCATCTGCTATCTCTTGTTGGATTTCAGGATAAGATGAACCAACTGCAAGAATTGGTCAAACGTATGCTGGAGGAAAGAAAAGAACTCAGAATTCAGCAACATCAGTTACAAAACGTTATAAACAGTCGGATGGTGGCGCACGAACATGAAGCTGTCATTTCTGGTACTCAACATGACGACGACGTTGTAGTACCGCGAGCGGAATTAAGCTTAGAAAGCGAAACGAACAGTCAAAGCTGGGACGACACTGATGTGTCGAAAAGTTCAAGCGTGGATGAGACAGAAAACGAACTTAATCTACTTCAAAATGAGGTGGAGTTAGATCAAAATGATGGAACTGCTCGTCAAATTCTACAGATTTTAGAACAGTTAGGACCTACAGAAGACGGTGCTCATAAAGGCGGGATGTCTCCTGACCTACTGAGTAGAGAATTTTTACCGTGTCGATCTTGCGGAGGACGCGTCCTTAGATTATAGTCTTAAACAGAAATATTTTTAGCTCAAATCATAAATAATGGCTACAACAAGTAGGAACTGAGGTCGTGAGTAGACTGCGGAATATGTCAGGCCAACATAGGTAGGATATACAGGGTTTGCACGGATCATGAACGTCTGGAAGGTCGTGGAATTTCTCAGAATCATGTTCCAAACCTGGAAATTCTTGAAATTTGAGTGTGGGTCATGAAAAGTTAACGAAAATGACTAAAAAAGGAATTTTTGTGATTGTTAAGGAAAAATGCATTCGTTACATGAACGTCTTCGCGATGTTCTGAAGCCAACTTCTCGATCCGTAGGACATGGAAAAGGTTCGGGAAACAGTCCCTGGGAAAGTCATGGAATTTTATGATTCTTTAAGAATACGAGCCACGATAAAGTGAACCTGAGTAGAGGGTAGAAAACTAAGAACGGGTTAAAAGCTGTAATCTCTGGCTTATGAGATCTAATAACAGCCTCCGCAGATCACAATTAGTCATTATCGCATTTACCATCCGCGGCACAGGGCATCGTAGTCAGAACACTATTTTCTTAAATCTGATATGCACGATCTTCACAGGAAATATCGATATTGGACAAATTTTCTATTCATTGATGAATTCCACCTTTGTCTTAACACAGCCGCAAGTTTCTTTCACCTAATTTTGACTTTTCGAGAGCTGCAACAGGGTATTGTCGTAAATTTGACTTGTCGAGCATAATCGAGAAGCACTCTCTTATCCGATAAACCACTTAAAATTGTACAAGAATGCAAAGTTGAAAAATTCCATATAAATTCAATCAGATTTAGCAGTAGAAGTAAAATTTATTTATTGGGGAATTCGTTTGATCATTAAAGCTCGCGTTTTACGTATAAGTAAATTCGTCAATACCGTTCATAAGCATGGGGTCCACGACGACGAGTCGGCGGTGAATAGCAGTAGAATCTTAAGATCACCGGCTCAAATTTCTTAGATAATTGAGATAATTGAATATATTCATATTTATTCCATACTTTGAACCTTGCTGTCAGTCCTGGTTGAAAAGGCGCCAGACAATGCCAGAGTGATCGCAAGAAATCAAGGCTAATTTCTTGTTTGTTTCTACTCAAAACAATACCTCAGTAAGCACTAGACAGAAATTGCATGCAGTACGAACTGTGCATGTTTTTATACACTGGTAAACGCGTTATCTGGATCGCGAATTTTGGGTGAGGTATTCGACAGAAGCTGGACAAGACACACAAGAATTATGAATTTATTTTTTGAGTTAGCGTTCATCCAAAACATTTGAGCCTGTTTGAGGAGCATGGAGTAACGACATGCAGTGTTTGTTCTCAGTTAACAGTGTTTCCTTGATGACCAGATCTTTCTTTCCTAAATAGATTATCAAGGTACGAATTTTTTATACTATAAAAGAAAGCAGGTCACTCGGGGGCATGTTCACTGTATTCCATTGGAAAGCAATGCGTATCTCTAAGATGTTCTTAAATCATGAATCAATTTAGCCTGGTGGTTAAAAATTAAATTATAATTTTATGGAGAACCAAATAAAGTAGTTTTAAACTTGTTCCATTTGTTCTGTTTTGAAGTGTTTTTTTGCTTGTTTCACTTCCTTTTTTACGCATTTAGTTTACAATTATCGAGAACTCGTTCACAACTATATAAAAATACGCAGTTTTCCGTATAGTGCTACGATAGAAAGTAATTCTTGGTTAGCGATCTAATTTTATTCTTAAGCGCTCCCATAAATGACTTATCCCCTTCACAGCAGTTGTTTAGTCTCGTCTCGCTACGCTCTCTCTTCCCCACCAATACGCGCCGATTGAAGCAGCCATTGGTGAGAGAGAGCGTGCGTTGCGTAACGACGTCAAGCAACGGCTTGCCAAGGAGACTGGTAGAAGACGGGCTCTAAAAGACCTCACGCTAAGGGAGATGTCAAGGCATTTTGTGTGTGCTTGCGTACTTTGAATCAATTCAATGAACGAAGGAACGTTTGTTAGATCTTGATCACTTTCAAAAGGCGCCATATTCACCAATTAGCTCGAGAAAAGGTAAAAATTGCGAATGGAAAAACAAGTTACTACTTTTAACTGTGTTTTCATTATCATTCATTACGAATGTGATTGGATTCTAGAGCCTCTCCGTGTATATAGTAAGGGTGTCTCGAAAACTAAGACCCTTGAACCCAAGGCCTCGTGAACTAAGGCCTCGGAAACTTGTTGATGAGCTGTCTTTGACTCTAACGCTTAAAACCAACTGATCCTAACAAGGAGAGCTGACCTCAAGTACATTCCAGTTCACTAATACGCTAGGTTTTCAAGGACTTAGTTTTGTGGTCTTAGGTCTTAGTTCTCGAGACACCCCAGATAAGGCGGAGTATCGAAACAAAACAACAAATGAAATGCATTGCTTTATATTTCCTGTACTTCTTCAAACTTTTTAAATACTTTTTCGTTTCCCCGGATTCCAAGCCTTTTTCAATCATACGTTCATTTTTTATTCTAGGTCTTTATTTCATAATTATAATTTTTTTTCTCGTTCAGTTTTACCTTGTCGAAGTATTTACTCTATCACTTCACAGTCACTTGTCGATGTCCTGATCTGTTTGATCAATTTTGCTTCTCCTACTTTTTTCCCTTTAAGTATCAAGTTTTATTTTTTTATGATTTGCGTTCTTCAGATTCAGTTCCTCGATTTCTGAGATCAACGTAATGTAATCTTCCTGTTCCTTTCTTGCTTCTTCCTCATAACCACATTATGAAACTTCATTCGCCGCATTTTGTGAACCAAACGTGCTTCGTATCACAGAAAACTTTTGAACAATGAAGTTTAACCTGATAAAGCAGAGAGGTCCAAAATAAATGCAGGAATCATAATCTATTCTTTCCTCATTCACCAACAGGAATTTTCAGGTTTTCCGTCTGTTTGTTTGGCTACGGTTATTTGCATGTCTGTGTGCCTTTTGTTTGTCGTGGTTCAGCGGTTTCTGCGTGACACTTGATGTTAACCAGTCTGACCGGTCCACAACAACACGTCACCATCATGGAGCCTGCTTCTGTCGCAAGACCCAGATTTTGTAGTAGGATGACTAATCACATTGCCCGCATCCTTTCCTTCTACAATTATTTTTCAATATTTTGCAAAATTTCACGGATGTGTTGACAAAGGCTATCGCGCTTCCGTTTTGCTATGAATTGTTTTCCAGCTTTATTTATTTCGCTTTTATTCCTCAGTCTTATCAGGCGGTGAGTAGTCTTGTAGCTTGTGTAAATTACACGTTGTTTGAGAAAGAGGACTTTGACTCGACCGTTGCCTTTGATTTATTTCGCAGACTTCAAGCCCCGAGTGGGAGCGAGAGAGCGTCAAGTATTCCTGTACAACTAAAACTGGAATTATCACTTTCATCCAAATTGGAACTTTCCAAAATAGTAAGTATTTGTGTGTTGCTTGGAACGACTGTGAAACAATGTCGCTCTAATTAAGGCCCACATTTGACTGTTAACCTCTAGCTTGTGATATATTAGGGCGTTGAATTGATTGATTTACAAGATTTAAAAGTACTATAGAACATTCTTTGCGTGTGACTTTCAAAAAGAGAAGGATAATCTTTCTCCTAGAAAAGTTAGCAAGCCAGTTACACATTTTAGTTTTGTCTCCATGACAGGTGATAGTAGTACGTTTGTGTTTTGATTTAGTTCCTGGTTGATGGATCGTTGAATGTTCTGAGTTTCGTTTTATTTCAATGACTCCTAAATTAATGTACGAGGAAAGAAAATTTTTGCGAGGTTTGGGCAGTCGTTAGTAAAGTACGTCTTCCTTACGATGTGAGTTCTCAAAACTCGACACACAAGCTATTTACATATATCTTCTTTTCATTTGTTTTCATTCATTATTCCCAAAACTTTCGGAAGATCTTAAAGCAGAGAAAACTATACTCTTATGACCTGCTACTCAACCGAATTCTAAATAATTTTATTATTTCCTTCTATAATCATATTTGCCGTAGTATGATATTGCATTTTAGGTTTTATAACGTATGTAGTGTTTTTAAGTTTTAATTTCGCAAGACCATTTTGAAAGATCACCACATGTGAAGAGTCACCTAAGTAACTTATGTGTAAGAAAGCTATGAGGTCTTGATACACCTGCCTCAAATGTAATATTCTTAAATTGCAAATTTTTGGATCAGCTCTCATGTTAAAATTATTGGTAGAGAGCAAATGGTCAAAAATGACATACAAAATACATGTAGGAACATGGGGTAAAATAGACAATCTTTGTGCGAGAATCCTACTTTAAAAAATACTTTCTAGAGGCCTGCTTAGAGAGTAGACATCTAGAAATTGTCTGTGGGTGCTCTGCTGGAATATTTCTAGCTTCTTCATTTACGGAAACAAAATGTTGCCTAGAATATACATGTACACATATCTTGCATGTCTCCTTTTGCTGCTGTTGTTTAACCTTATCACATGAGATATTTTCACTTCAAGACCAAACAATGGCCGTAGAGGAGACTAGTACAGCATTATAATGACTTAACAACTTGACAACCAAGACCACAATTTTTTCAGCATCATCCACCCACTTAAAACTTTAAGAGAACCTTGCTCCACAGCTGACAGTTGAGATGAATGGATAACTGTATACAAAGTTTGTTGTAGCTCAAATTTTACCTTGGTTTAAAGTTTTTTACTGGAAACAAAGGAATCTTTAAGTCCCAAGAAATGAGTCTTTTGTTTGATTTTTTATTTGCCTCAGATAATTCATCCACCTAGTCTGACTGGGCTGGATGGCTTAACTTGATAATCTTTAACCTGAATCTCCATAGAATGAATGAAAAAAGTTTAAAGAATCTTTCTAACTCAAAACTTTCATTAGTACTCATCCTTGTTGGCATGGTCATAGAACATTCTTGAAAAACTCAAATAATTTTTGCTGTCTCAAAATTTAATACTCAAAGACATCTCCCTCCCTTCTGTTTTCACTCTCTCTTTGCTGAATTCTTAAACACTCAATATGGCTCAAGTTTTTAGCATAAGTATTATGAAATCAAGAATGGGGAGAATTTTTTGAGGATGTCGCAGTCTACACACATGTTCATGGATATTTATCTCAAGTTTAATCCATACAAAAAAGGAAGATTGGTCTTAAAAAATAGACTCAATGCATTTGGCAGTACATGTATATAAAATGAAGGACAAATCTAGAAAGGAGATACCAATATTTTGAAAAAAGTTTACTTTAAACTTGATATTGTCAAAATTTTTAATATCCTGTGGCTTTTCACCATATGCAAGTTTTTTTGTTTACCAACTAATGGAGTTTTTCCTAAGTGTTTGCTTATTTTGTCAAACCTGTTTTGTTATTCTCACCCACATGAACTAAACCTGATTTGAATAATTTACTCTAAATGGTTTTGACATGTGCTCACACCTGTTACCTGTTCAAGTGTCAATACTTTTAGCACTTGTTTGCCTGGAAAAAAGAGAATCCAAAATATTTTAACAAAAGGGTATGAATTTTGGCCTGATTACCTGATATTTCTGACAAATTAATCGAAACAATTTGCACATTTTTGTGTCAGATTCTAGATTTTTACATTTCTAAGAGTCTTTTTGGCCCTGAAGAAATTTAGTGTTAAAATACAGTTGGATAAAACTGAAAATTGCTTGATATGTATATTCTTCTCATCAAGTGGCTCTTGATTCCTTAAAGCTTAATACATTATAGATAGATCACTTTTTTGCTTTTACTATTGCAACTAAAATTATACTTATGATACAAATGGCATGTTAACAGAGAAAGAAGGAGCAACAAAAATTTAGGTATCTCTTTAGGTATAGATGTACCTGTACTTTAGCAGTGGGCACTAAACTGCATCACCACAGTTGTGACTCGGTTCTTGACAATATTAGCTCTAAATTTTCAGATAAATATTGGAAGAAGTTCAAGATGTTATTTTTTTGTTACTATCTTCTGGGAGTAAAGAGGTACACCACATCATAGTTTTTCATTATGTTTATCTTCGATTACCTTTCTTTCAGGATGATGTTAAACAGTCTGAATCATCCAAGGATACACCAGTTCTACTGCAACAATCATCATCAGCTTTGCCTTCTTCCTCATTACACCTCGAAGAGCTTCTTACTCCAAAGGTGGCTCCTGCCACTCCAAGCTATGATACAGAGTCTACTGCAACCACAATCATTGGTAGTACCATTGCATTTAATCCACAGGCAAATGGTCATGTGTCATCATCTGTGATCTTTATTCCTCCCAGTAATTCTGGTCAGGTTCAGGCATCAGACCCCATGGTTGGTGTTGAGGAAAGAAGTCACTTTGAGCCTTTCCCTACAAAAGAACCAGAAGTTTTGATATCAGTTCTGGACACTGCGTGAGTTGATTTTACTATATATTTTGCGCCCTACATAAAACAGTTTTTTCTTCTTTTTCTGCTACTTGATAAGGCTAAAATAAAAATGATTTCATTAGCATTTTGCAGTATTGTCTTTTGTTCTTCTTTAGACAGTGTTGTAGAACTGTATATTAATACATTAAGATGCATGTGTGTGGCTGTTTAGAAACTAGATACCTTTAAACTGTTAGAGAAGCCTTAATAGTGAGGTCATTGTGCTTACCTTTATAAAATGGACTGTTCTCTAAAATGGACACTTTGCTCTGTCTTTTCAGTGTTCAAGACAACAGCAAAGTTAAACTCTTTTCTGAATTTCTTATTGAACCTGAGGTAGTAAGGTCATAGTAGCCGGATTGTTTTCTTTTGGGAATTTATTTTGGGAGATTTAGGACAATCCGTTCTAGCTTACAAACTAGACTGCAAAATCTCTATGCCAGATGGTTAAATTAATAGTTTTTGACTCAGGCAATTTTGCAATTTTGTAGCCCTCCAACTCCAATCAGTAACACACCAGTTCCCACTCCACCTACTCCAGCTGCAGTTGCAAAGGAAGATGAAGACAGCATTACAGCTGATTTAAACCAGGCAGAGGAAGAAAATAAACCAAAGGAAGATGAGATGCCATCATTTGATGAATTCAAAAGGAGAGTTTTGCAAGAAGAAGAAGAAAAGAGCAAACAACAGACTGCCCAGAATACTAGTGGAACTGCACACAAACCCAAACCCAAAAAGGTAAAGGAGAGAAAACAGAGCAACTATGCATCTGTGGATTGTGGTGCCAAGATTCTGGATCACAATAAGGAGGCTTCTAATGCTGACAGTGTTTTAGTGGAGAACAAAGACTTGTATATGTTAAATCCATGCAGTGCTAAAGTGTGGTTTGTTGTTGAGCTTTGTGATGTAGCTCATGTTAAGAGCATTCAGATTGCAAACTTTGAACTGTTCTCTTCAACGCCAGAAAGCTTTCGGGTTTATGTCAGCACAAGGTATCCAACAAGAGAATGGACAATGCTTGGAACCTTTGAGGCTCGCGAAGAACGATCAATACAAACATTTCCTTTAGATGAACCAATTTATGCCAAGTACCTTAAGGTAAAGTGTGTACTATTTACATTTATATTATGTGTACCATTTATATTTATATTATATTACGTATTAAGTGATGACACATATGAATCAAATCAGACTCAGTAGACAAAAAAGTCACTAGAAGTCCAACAGTCACTTTATCCAAATTTTAATTGCTTCACTTTCAAGCACAGATTGAAATGTTGAGTCACTTTGTTTTAGAGCATTGGTCAGTAATGAAAGAAGTTGCTGGTAGCACAACAGTCACTTTATCCAAGTTGTAATGATTTCTTCACCTGTACAGGTTGAGATGTTGAGTCACTTTGGTTCAGAACACTATTGTCCACTTAGTCTTCTGCGTGTTCATGGCAGTAGCATGATGGAAGAGCTTGAAGATCATGAGATTGGGGGACAAGATGACACTGAGAACTCAGAGAGTGAACAAGATATTCCAGTCTTGCCTCCTGAACCCGGGTCAAAGGCTCAAGATGAACCCAAAGAGCCAAACTTCCTTGAGCGCGCTGCTGATACTGTTATGAATATTGTCAAGAAAATTGCTGGAAAGGAGGATGAAAATAGAAATGGTAGTGAAAAAGGAGAGCAGTATGATCATCCCTTAGAATCTGTTACCAGTGGTGGGACAGCTTCCAGTGAGATTGAATCCAAATATAAACATAAAATTGTTACTCTTGTTGGTCATGAAGAACTTGAAGAAAACCAAGTGGAAAACAAGACTAATAATGGCAGCAATACTCTGGTAAAAGAACATCATGAAGACAAGAGGACTTCTCATACACAAGAACAAAAACCCATATCTGTTAACAGTAGCAGTCAAAAGACCTCACTGTGCGAGGATACGGAAAGTGATTCTAAATCAAAAACAACGTGTCCAGCTTTGACTCCTTGTCAGTCGTTTGCCCAAGTGATAGGCCAATATTGTTTAGGATGTTTCATGGGACAATTGTTGTTCTCCAAGAGTGGATATCAGAAGTCTACATTCCTAATGAATGCTGTAAAGGATAAAAGAACTAATCTAAGTCCCATTCAGAAATCAAAATCTGGTGAGAAAGACGATGATTCCTCTGAAAGCCAACAAGAAGGAGAACAAGGAGAATGGGACAAACTGGTGATACAGGACAACAGCAAAGAAAAGAAATCTGTGACTGAAAGTATCATGCAGCAGAATGCCCCATCTGAAGAAAAAAGTCCACAATTATCTGTCAACATTCCCAGCTCATCCCCCAGCAATTTGGATGGAAAAAGTGGAGTTACTGTTTCTAGTCTGTTAAATGTTGAAGATACTGTCTCTGTCTCCTCCAAAATTGTAAAACCTAGTTACTCAGGGAGCCCTTTGGATGTGAAAGGTGAAATATCCGACATCAAAACACCTTCACTGGGGAAAATTTCAGTTGTTTCCGAAGCACCTTTGAATTCTGTGCAGTCATCATCTTCTTCCTCTGTGACACTTCAAAGTTTAGAGTTACCTGTCATTAAAGAACCCGAAGGCAGTAACAGTCTAGAACCAGTAGATGGTAATAATGTACAGGAACTAACCACTCATGGAAGTTTGTCATCAGTTAGTCTGTCATCTACCCATGACAGGGAGCCTACCTTGTTAGTACAGAAGAATAGGTTTAAAGAAGTCCCAGAATCTTCTCAGTCAGATGTGAACCCTTTTCTTAAAGCTGAAGAGAAGAAGGAGCCTGATACACCAGATGAATTAAGGGGAAATAAAGACAATGAAGTCAGTGCAACACCAACAGAATGTAAATCTCTAAATTCTCTACACACTGTGCCATTTTCATCTCCAGATATTGATGTCTTGGAGACAAAACTCACTGATAAAGAAGGGCGAGAAGGAACTGCTCAGCTGCCTGAAGAAACTCAGGCTGAGAAAGACAACCTTTTACCAAATGAGAAAGGTGAATCAAAAGATAAAGAAGGGCAGGTGACTGATTTTTCAAACAAGATTGTAGAACCTGAAGAGTCAGGAGACAAAGGGATTCTTCCTAACATGGAAAGCCAGGATAGAGTTGATATTAGTGAAAGCACATTATCAAATACAGTGGGGGAGTCCCAAAGTGTCAGTCCAACAGCTCAGCCTCGGGCTGGGTCTATAACTGACCCTGGTGACCAGTCTGAGTCTGTTCTTCCATTGCCAGCTCCCCCTGTAGCTAGTGCAAGTAGCCATGAATTTATTGCTGCAGCTTCATCAGACACCAATCTGGATGCCACCATGCTTAGTAAAACACAACACCAAGCATCAGGCTCATCAGCTGGTGTGGCGTCAGCAGTTGGTTCTGGAGTACATAAGGAGTCGATTTTTGTGCGACTTAGCAACAAGATCAAGGCCTTAGAGCAGAACCTCAACATGAGCACTCTTTACATGGAACAGCTAAATCAGAGGTGAGTCTATCATGCAAGGAAGTATTGAGGGAACAGGGTTGGTATTGGTCTTAAAAATGTAGGTTGTTTTTTTTCAGTTTTGGAGAGGTTTAGTCATGCATAGACTGAAGAGTCCTGGAAGGTGCTGGCAAGTCTCAGAAAGAGTTAGTTCTTGTTGGAAAGCCCTATAGGGAAAAACAAAGACTAACATCTGGAGTTGGTGTTAAGCTATGATATCATTACATTTTAGAGTCATGAAATAAATATATTAGAGTCCTGGAAAAGTCCTTGAAGACATTTTCATAAAAGATGTTCAAACTTTTGGGAATGAGGTTGAGAGGTTGTGAGTTGTGGAAAAACTTGTGAACTACACCCTCCCCTCCCCTCCCCCCCTTTACCCTCCCCTCCCCTCCCCCCTTTACCCCCCCCCCCCCATATCCCTCTGTCTGTAGAGGTTATTTTTATTGGACCTTACTGCAATCATACAATGTGCAGTGAGGAAATTTGGATTGTGTGTTTGGTCTTTGATGTGTATTGTCATTTCATTTCATATCTTTTAAGTAGTGTTCATTGTTCCTTAATAGAAAACATTTCAGAATGAAATAAACACAGCACAGTTAAAATGTCATCTTGATGTCAATTTTAATTTTAAAAAAAAAACATATATATGAAATAAGGATTTGTTAAATAGTTGTATGGGAATGAAGTAGTAACCATGCATAAACAGTTCTACATATAGGGTGTTTAAAACAGCAGAGTCAACTAAAATTACCTGTGCTGTTTATACACCAAGTGCATGTAGTTGAGTAGTACTGTTGCCCAATACTGTCCAATTGTTTACAACATCTTAAAGACCAGACAGTCTAACTTTCCCTGAAACTTTCTCTCAGGAGTGAGAAGTGTGTAGCATATACTAAAACTTTTACTTGAATCACTTGTGAGGATATCAACATCATTGTTAGATTATGCTGGTATGTTTCCACTAACTTTACATGCTAAATATGAGGTGGATTAGCTGCAAATAGTGGGTTGACTTAAATATAAGTACACTGTATGCAGTGTGCATTAAACTGTCAAGTATTTAAGCCTTGGAGGGTAACATTTTCTCTTTTTTCTATTGAGTTACTCTGTTTTATTCACAAGCCTTTTTTCTGAACACAGGTACCGGAAATCACTGGATGATCTTCAAAAAAGCTCGGACAAAAAAGTTGCCTTGTTGACAAATGCCACAAAGAAAGCAGAAACTGTGGTATGTATACTTATGAAAATTATGAGTTGATTTTTAAATTCTGGGAAATTGTGTGCTCTATTGCTTAGCACACTTCAAAATTTAGGATACAAGATACATTTCTTTCATGATTTTCTCTCCCCCCAGTAATATAAATCTTCTAAGACATTTTGGTGTGCAGTATCGCTGAGTATTTTATGAGTTGTGCCTATAGGGAGAGTAAAATACAACAAAGAGTAAAAATAACAAGCACTACTACACACCAAAATGTCTAATAAGTTATTTATTATCCAACTGCTTTTTTTTCTGCTAAGTGATTATGCTCATTTTTTATATGTTGGGAAAAACAAAGTGGATAGAGAAGCATAGCAAACACAACCAACTGTTTAAACAGATTTTTTTTACAGTACAAAATAACCAACAGTACAATATCGCAGGATATCTGTACTCTATTGGTGCAATATTTTTTACTCTACTTTGTGCAGTTGGATACTACTGTGTGTACATGTAACTGTCATGAAAGTTGGACAAAATGTCTACCTGCAATGGACTATTTTTCCACCCTAAGGGGGGGATGTCAAAACAGTTCTAGTCACCTTATCCTTCACAAACTGTAGTAATGGGCCACTGTGTGTGCCACTGGATGGAGAGCAGCCTCAACCATTTTTCATGTGATAAAAAGAAGAAACTGTGGTCTGTCTACAGATGAAAATTATCAGTTAAATTTTCCAGTTGTATGGGTAACATTTTTTTTTGGAGGGGGGGGGACTTTACTGCTCTGGTTTAACCAACAGTCAAGCACACATCTGTGTATTTTAAGGTTGTTTAATGCTATAGTTCATGCATCACTTTGTTGATTAACCCTTTAACTCCCAAGATCTGATTATTAATTTTCCCCTCCACATTTTGTTACACAATTCCTGGCGAATAAGTTAGGCAAATTTGGTATTAAATCAAGATATCAACTTCAGCCTGATAAGTTTGGGTATTCTCTTTTTCCCTTTGCTTGATAATGTACGGATATTATAGAGAGAAGTTTCATGTTAATCACTTCCAGGAGTTAAAGGGTTAAGTAAATTTTACTTACAGATTAACAACCAAAAGGAACAAATTGCCAAACTGCAGTCTGAGCTTGGTAATCTTACCAGTATGATGGTGGAAATGAAGGCTCGCATGGATCCTCTAAACAAGGAAGTTATGGAGAGGCATGTGATTGGTCTGTGTATAGAGATTGCTTTGATCTTGTTCTTGTTTTTGGTGTTTACTAAGAGGAACAACAATAATAACAACAACAACATTCCTGAGGCCCGAGGGGAGTCTGGACACTTTGTGAATGGCAAGGGCCCCCCTAGGTTTGCAATCGAAGAGGATCATAACAAGACCAGTACAATCCACACAACAGGCAAGTTAGATGTACATTATAGATGTATTTGATACTGAAGAATACACAGTTTACAATTACAGGGGCATAGACTTAATCAATCTTTATTTTGTACCAAATTAAACATAAGAATCTCACCCTTTGGAATAATTGTTGTGTGGTGCTATCCTTCTTGTGAATCAAAATAGATAAAAGTACGAAGATGGGTTGTAAAATTTATCTGGCATATTCATGATTGGTCGTTCTTCGTCAATTGACGGATAGGAATTTTTTTTGTTGTTAAGCAGGGGTGGGAGGGGGGGTGGGGGGGACTGTAGAGCCTTGGAGAAAAATATTATAACCAAGTACAGTAGGAACTCATTTAAATGAAGCTTAGATAAAACATCCTCTCTGGTGTAAGGAAAGGGGCTTTACCACAACAAAACCTTTGGAAGATTATTTACTGTACCTCCACTGAATAGATTGGAGTTTCTTGGTATATTGGATTTGTTTAGTGACATTTGTTTGCCTATGAAAAAACAGGTTTTATATTAAGAGTTCATTAGAATGTTTAGATAACTTTTTGGTCATTTTTTATTTTTTTAGCCTGTCTCAGTGGAAGAGAGCAGCTCCTTCGTAGTTTTGGAAAGCCCTCAGAACCGGAGTCTGTCGGTTCTAGTAATATTGCAGATGGTCATGAGAACAAACTAAACAAGGTCAGATAAAACTCATATCGCCAGTGGGGAGAAATTCCAAAGTTTGCCACAAAATGCACATTAACCCATCAGTTGCTACATCACAGCTAATGCATCTTGAAAAATTTACCTCCAATTTTTAATTTTTTTTTATTATTTTCTGTCTGTCTTGATCTTCTTTATCATTGATCATTCCAGTTCATTCAAAGTGTTTTTTTGTTTTTTTGATTGTTTGGTTGTTTGGTTTTATTTTATTTTACCATACTTGTATTTGTGGTCTTTCTGTTATTCAGGTGCAGATAATTTTTGTCGCTAGAGCAATTACTTAAACGCGAAATCAAGATGATTTATGCAAATTAGTATTGAGGTTTTAAGTATTAAACCGAGGGAAAAATTTTGTCCTTGCAGGCAGAACCGTTCAATTCTAATGACAGTAAGAAGAGACGTAACCGCAAACGCAAAGTATCCAGTCTCGAGCCTCCCTCAGACAGTACTTCTTGTGCTGACACGCCTAGTCCTGGTAGTTTTCTCAGTCGAACCGCTGGCTTACTCTTCTCGAGTGCTCGTGGACTCTTTGGTAGTTTTCACAATCCATGGAAATTGAAGAAGCCATCGACTGTGCATAGCGATCCTATCCTCTCTACAAGATCGGGAGACAGCCTCGTTGGTGAAACGGAAAGACTGAGGCATCCTGTGCTATTAAGAGCTAGGAGTTTAGACTCAGTTCCAGAGGAGACACCTTCACAAAGACTTGCACCTCCGCCCACACCACCCCCTCTCTCACCGGAGTTTGGGGTCGTGTTTAAGCGCCCCCCTGATTGTTACTACTCCAAGAAGACCGGTGTTAGGAACATAACCCCTGGCCCGATAAAATGTGGAAAATATGGCGTCTTAGATTCCCAGATGGCGTAACTTGGGCCCCTCGAAGACCACACCCATTCTTCAACTTATTTCGGCAGCACGTTTCACTGGCGAAGTTGAGGAATGTGATTGGTTTTCGAGGGATTTCCGACAGAGAGAAATGAAGAAAAGGAGAAAAATGTCATGGGGTGACCCTTCTTGAGCAGCCTTAGAAATTTTACTCAACTTGGAATGAAGGAATCGATTATCGGGAGCTGAAGCTTAAAAGAACTTTCTCTTATCAGCCTTAAAAGGTGGATAGAAATCTTATATTTTTGCTGAAATGCGTATAAGGCTTGGTAGACTAGCTACCAATTGAGTAAAATTGTATTCAGTGGGCCATTTTCATAGACCAAAGAACTCAGTAATATTGAGGAGTTCGTTTAGACCAAATATATCTCTAAAATGCTGCGTGTAAATGTTCTTTCTAGGAAAGCAGTATTCAAATGGTAAAGTCAGTTTTTGCAGCAAAATGAATTTGTATAGGTAAACCAAAATGTGTCATAGGTAATACAAAAAGGAAATTCCGCAATTGGTATCAAGAAGTAATATATATTTTCATATTTAAGACAGAATTGGTACAAGTTAAGATAATATTAAATTAGTAGGAAAAATAAAAGAGGCTCATGGTTTCATTTGGATTTGTGTTTGTGTGTAGTCAAGTTTGCATTCTTAACAGTTTTGATTCCTTGTGCTTCTACTCATGAAAATTGGATTTGTACCCTGTTTTAACTTTTGGTTTTAGAAGTACTTTGTTCTGCTTCGTAATTGCGATGTAAATTTTTGGTGAAGTGGTGCGCTGTCTTCATCATACATAGACTTATAAATGTAAAATGTAGATGTCCAACGTTTATCATAACACTGGCTTGTAATTGTGCTTCTATCCTTCGCCGAAAGACTCCTTCAGACGACGAAATGCAAATAGCGAGAAATGCAATGCGGGAAAAAGTCGTTCCTACCAACAACCACTTTTCTAAAATGCCTTCCTCGAAAAGTGTCTATCCGTTAACATTTTTAAGTTCAAATCTAAACTTGACTCTTCTTTATAACTGTAGATTTTAATTCTAATTCTGTGGTGGCGAATTGTTTAAAATCCGTCCTAAGGAGCAGTTTTGAAATAAACTTAAAATCACACGGACTTATGGCCTCTACACGAAAGCCAAACGACTTGTTTAAACTCGAAACATCTGTAAATTTTAGCTGTTTTGGGGTACAAGGGGTTTCGCCATCTGATATCTGACATCTGGAAATATTGGTCCGCAGTTCGTGCAAACATGAAACCGTTTCCACGCTGACTCTGCATTAGATCTTACAACACCTGATGTGCTAAAAAAAACCGTCTTTGATGTGTTTAAATTCGTTGAGGTACGGGACAAAGAGAAAAAGTCTGAGGTTATGGTTTTAGACAAAACCTTTCAGTTTTTCTCCTTGTCTAATAAAGTCTTAAACATGTCTTTAAATTAATACTTTTTCGTGTAGCAAAGAAAGACTCAGTCCAACTTTTTCGGATGCCGAACGTAAAGATTATAGACTCAGATGTGGTCACGTATTGATGTCTTGATTCTTGCTTTCCCATGCTTGGAATCTTACAGGTTTGGCTCTGAGATATCGGCAATATTTCAGCTGGTCCATAATGTTCACAGAGGGATCAATGAAGGGGACTGTCTTGGACGAGTGCTTGCGATGAAACTCAGGAACGCAGCCATCTCGTATTGGTGGAAGAATCATAGATTGTATGGTTTGATTCTCGGGTAACAAATGCCAAAGTTTTTTCGTCACTTCATCGGGTGAGCTTCGCGCACTGTTAACGATACGTGTACCAGCTTCGTCCCTGTTTCCAAATGGTTCACTTCGTCTCCGTAGCCATAACATGTCAAAATACTCTTGTGAGTTTAAAGGTGGCTTTTTGAGGAATTCTTTCACTTTTTGCGTCAGTTCTTTGTCTTGATTGTGGTACAAAGAAGGGATGTATCTTCGCTTTAAGTTCGGTAAACCCGAATTATATGCGTTTCGTGTCAACTTGGAACTTTTCACCGTCGATGCAGCGGATGACAGATGTTCGTTTCTATATTGAAAATTGTAAACTGGCGATGAATTTTGTTTGTTCTCGGGTAACCGCTGGTAATCGGCCATATTTAGTTCAGAAAAACTCTCTTTACTGGTCCTTGGTTTTTGATTCATCAAACATTTTAAAAGTAAAATCAGGGCGGTTTTCAACTTTTGTTCCGATGTAATAAAACAGGCCAAGTGCAAATACCATTTAAAAACGTCGGGCTTCGCCACACGGGATAAACATATCGGTTTCCTTGCGAACGAAAGAGCCTTACTCATGAATAAATAAGTCAATTCCTAAGCTTGGCTTGAATGATTTTAGCCTTAGGCGACTTCATTGGCTTATGGATTCGTAGCAGGAGTCCGTTCAAGGAGAATTCATACGTAATTTAACATATTCTTTACCTTATGTAAAACACGAAATGTATATTTAACTCCCCACCGGTTAAATACATAGTTTCGAATCGAAGTTTGAATACAAGGGACCTATGTTATTGTTTATAAGTTTGATACTCGCGATGTTTTGAAATGTGTTCCCGAACTACGCCGGATAAGTAGGAAAAGCGTTCAGATAAGAGAATATTCTTATTTTAATAGTGTCTCGTAAAATATTCCATTCAGGTAGCAGGATGTTTACACGTACACCAAATTTGCTCTGCGTGATACGAAACAAAAAAAGTTGAAAAAGGCGACCGCATGGAACCTTCCAGCCTACTAGTTTCTCAATATTTGGCTTCAACTGCCAATGTATTTGTAACAATAATTGTTATACTCTTCCAGTTATAGGAAAACTTAACACTGGTTGGGTAATTTGAGCAAACTGAATGATATACGTTTAGCCACCACATTCGAAATGATATATTCCTTTTAAAAGGTACATTCACCCACAGTTATCAGGATACGTCGATTAACACCTACCGCTAGACCCGTTACAGCCAGAGTATGAAAATGAAAACATTTATTGCCTAAACATTTCAGCGTGCAAATATTTTTGTTCACTAAATTGCTTCAAAAAGTTGAAGAAGTATATTTCTTTGTTCCATATCTTTTTTTGATGCTTTTCTGGCACGCAAGGAAAAATGTCGTTTGACACAAAAGTCACATAAAACCCACAAACTCCCACAGAAAATGGAGAAAAATTGTTGACATTTAGATAAACGGCCGTAGTTATGATAAAAGGCGAGTACTTGACAGCTTAGGAAAGGTAAAAGACACCATAATCAGGGACGGGGAGGGAATAAGCAAGTCGGTAATGGGAATGTCAAGGAGGCCAGATCAAACATGGGAAACGATTAACAGGGTAATTTAGTATTATCAACTGAGTTGACAACGTAAATCGGCCACCGTAAAGAGTTTATTCACCATTTGCTCTGACGAAGGGCTGACGCTCGAAACGTCAGCTTTCAAACTCTTTACGTTGGCCAATTTACGTCATCAATTCAGCTGATAATGCTAAAATTACCCTGTAATACTCTCCCACCGACGCAGCACCACAGTTTTTTTAGAAACTATACCCCCTCTATTCTTTGGGAGAACTATTAGTCGATTTTTCTGAAAAAAGAGGAAGCTTTAGCCGCCGTGACTAGCGCGGAAGGGCACAAAGCAAACAGGATGGAATAGAAAGAGTTCGAGGCGGTATTGTAACAGTTAGCTTTCGCCCTTGCTTTAGTTTTTCCACTTCCTCCCCTTTGAGCGCTGACCGCTTAGGCCTAAATAAAACGTTAAACATTTTCGAACTCCCCGACAGTCCGACAGTCAAACTTCTTTTACTTGGACAAAGGATTCCCCTGACCAGTTGGTTCGTTTACTCACCCAAATTTTTCATTCCAGTTATGGAAAGACCTGAAGACGAGGAGTAAGAAAAATAGATTTCACGTGTGTAACAATGCACGCGGGAAGGTTGAAGGACACGAGAGAAGCTTGCGAGTTGTTTGAGGCGCACTCGAGAGCAACTTTAGCTTCTTGAGTGCACTTCAAATTTCAAAGAGCATCCGTGAAACAATTCTTTTCTAGCAAAGCCGACAGAATTGTCCTGTTTCATCTGGTTGTCTTGATGTTCGATGAAAGTTCGCTTCTTTGAACAAGTTCTCTCAGAAAATGTACTTTTTTAAGGAAGCTGCAGACAAAAATTGAAGGTCAAAACACTCAAGATTTAGTAGAGTTATAACCTATTGGAAGAGTCTTAGCTCAATAAAAGTCCGAGATTCAAAGGGTTTTGATTCTTCGTTCTACGTCCATCAAGTTGTTTTGTGCTGTTTAATCAAAAATTTTGCGAAAAATTTATTGTTTTTTCGATTATATAATTCTAGTGGTTAAATGGTAAATGAAAATGGAGAATTGAATGGGTACGAAAACAGAGCAAGTTTGATGAGAACGTTAAAAAGAACACACAAGTTCCCTCCAACTGCAACCTTATCAGCTTAAAACGTCACAAACAGAAACAGCCTGAGCTGAATTTTACCACAGTCCGATCGGACAAAAACATAGCTATAAAATTAAAATACGAACAGTCTCTGCTTTTGGGCGAAGTCCGTTGCACGATTAAAAAGAATTATGTCAGCGGGCCGCGCCAGTAGGAGTAAGCGTGCCTCGCCCCCAATGCTCTGCGCTTTTTTTTTTTTTTTTTTTTTTTTTTTTTCACTCGCTCGACGGACTTTGCCGGAAGTGAGGGACTGCCCGTAGTCTAGAATAATTTGCATACCAATGATTATTATTAGTCCGACTTCGCTTTGCGGAAGCGATATATCGCCAGGCGATAACAGTATACCGGAAGTAACAAGGTTTAAAATTTTATCTGACTGTAGTTACTGAGTTGTGGTAGACAAAGCTTGGCTATGTTTAGCTGGTTGTGTTCGGATTTCTCAAAGCAGTGCCAGGGGCAAAAGCTTCCTTCAGATCCATTTGCAGAATTAGCCTCAAACAACAATGTAGCACCAGTTCTTTCAAGCTAGTAAAAATGAGAATATTTTTTAAATTATTTTGCGCTTGTTTTAGAAAATAATTGATAGACATCTTCTTGAGCTGGAATCAAGCTCCTTCATTTCAACTCAGCGACAAAATCTTCAAATTATGGCGCCGCCTGTCCGTCAAACTGGATGTTTACAATTTCAATAATCGCTCCAGGTAGATGATGAATTTTTAGTGAATGTTTCAACAGTACGAAGAGGAAAACAGATCATCTTCTTTCCTTCTACATCGTAAACGAACCGCAAATTCGAACTGAGTTTAGGAGCATACTACCTAATTTTTAGCATGGATTCTTGTGGTTTGAGGCTGAAAGCATGCGTAACTCTCGCGTATCTGAAAGAGCTAAAATCCAATTATCATTAATATTTAATAGCAGTTTGCAGTGAAATATTCGCCTTCTTAGCTGGTGGCAAACACTCCTGTTTGCCTTTTCTTTGTGAAGACTGTGAAGCTGGTATACACAGAATATTGTCTCCATATGCAAACTATATTTTCCAAGTCATAAGTGGGTTAAATTCAGAAAAAAAAGAAGGAAATTGGCTCTGTGTCTTCTTGTTTCTAATAAATCAAAAACATTTTAGGGTGCTAGTAGCTTATTCTATTTT